CAGCAGCAGTTGACACCACAGAAGCCCGTCAAAGGCCAGCAGCAGCGGCAGCCGCCGGCGGGGGCAGCCGGATCGGGTAGCAGGCCCGAGACACCCCGGGATGACCCGGCGCCGCCGCCCACACAGGCGGGACAGATCAGCATAGCCGACCTCTTCGCAAAGGCGTCACGGACAGGCCAGGTCAGTACGGGAAACAGAGAGCACAGCGCTGTTCGTGACCTTTTTATCATTACCGACTTGCTTGAGTTTCTAGGTCTTTGATTAATGAAAAGTACTTGGGTTGTGCTGTTGCTAAAGCAAGCCCCAAAACACCATCAATTAGCTCCCATTTTTGAAAGAAGCTGTGACTTGCTGATGAAAGACGGCCACTGAACAGCGCTAAGGATTGCGAGTTGTATGTCTGGCTGTCTCGGCGTTCTTAACTGACTTGATGGACCGGCGTGGCCTGATGTGTGTTTGACTGTCCTCATGGTCCGCCGGTAGTGTTTATTTTTCTATGACCGTGGTCAGTGTCGAAAACTGGGTCATGTTTCGTTCACTGCCACCAGTGCTTTCATGTTTGATTTGTTATCAATGTTGTTTGGTTATGAGTGGTCGAGAACTTTGTTTTGTTAGACCATCTTCCCATCATTGTTCTATCGTCGTATCATGAAAGGCTTAAACATGTGTGTGGTATACTTGTATAGCCTTAAGTATAGTCTATTTTTGTGTGGTATAGGTACTTGTATTCACACCCATGGTCAATGTGTACACTTTACTCTCTAAACTCTACAATTCGCTTCATGTTCCGTTGTCGACACTTTAGAGGCGCAGATAGCACTCATAATGTTGTGGCGGTTTCACTTTTGTTGTGTCGCTTACCTATTTTTACACGAACATTTTCCTCCTAAAAGACGGAAATCTGTGACGCACATGAGGTAGGAGTCAGACAATACTTTGCGGCGTCCCGTTTTGGTGTTGCTATTTACGGAGCTTGGTGATTTCAAATTACACATCATTCCTTTAATCTGTGTTATTGAGCTTTCCAGCATTTTTTCCGCGTACAAAAATCCAGCGGTCTGCCTCTGTCTCTACTGACTGTATCTTACCCTTCCTTCAGGTGCTCATTGGTAAGCAGACGGCCCGGTCCATCTCTGTGTCGGAGGTAGAAGACGCCATGCCGGACCTGGGCGGTAGACCGCGGCTGCCCGCCCAGCCGCCACCGCCGCCCGTCATCTCGGCCGCGCCGCCGTCAGGTGAGGCCGCCACCGCTATCGCCCACCGCCTCCGCCTCCGCCTCCGCCCACCCTATCCCGCTCCTTGTCATTTTTCCGCCTCGCCTCAGTCTAAGCTGTCCACCACGATCAACCTGTTACAATCGTCACCACATGCGACAGTGTCCTTCGCTCTTTTACTTGCTGCGACCACTGCGTTTGTAGTTGCCACTGCCGCTTTGCCTTGGAAGTTGTGACATTATTTGTGAATCAGTCATGGTAAAAGATTGGTGCTGAACCAAAAGCCACTGTTTGCTCATTAATCAGTAACTGTTGTTAGGTTTAGTATTGGTTCTGACTTCTTATTGCAGTCCAGAACCCACCAGCGGCCTTTTACGTCTTGTGATCCGTTCCAGGCGCTGCCGCCGTCCGCCCGGCAGCCCCGGTCCGGGAGGCGGAATCACGAGACGTAGACCGGATCCAGGAGCTGTTCAAGAACAACCTGCAGCTGGGCGGCGCGGAGCCGCCGGCCGCCGCTCCGGCCCCGGCTCCGGCTCCGGCTCCGTCTCCGTCTCCGGCAGTGAGCCACCAGACGGCGGCGTTCGCGTCGCCCGTGCCGGTTCCGGACCTCACAGCGGTGAGTTGGCCTTTGTGGTAATTTTGTTTTGTTGTCGGAGGAGGAACTTAGGGGGGGGGGCTAGAAATAGTGTTGCGATGACGATCAGAAGAAATATTTGTGATGTTGGGTGGGCGTTGTCATCTATACGTGTGCCCTGACTTATACATCCTGCATACTTGTACATCCTGCGCTGCTAGCATTGAATTTTCTAGCCTTTTGCTACTATAACTTATTTCTCATTGGTCTTTTCCCGGTCCCCTGTTCACGCTATTACATCTTTTGTCAGAGTCCTCTCCGCTCTTCCACTCAGCTGGTCCTTCTCTGATGGATAGCGTCAGGTGCACTGTTGGCTAGAGAGCCGGCTCGACTGTTACAAATACTGAGCCGCATTGTCCGCGGCCCCTGCCTCCTCGTTGTCCCCTGTCCCGACCCCCTTCCCCTCCCCGCCGGTCGCTATCCAGTGTACTGAATGTCACCCACTGAATGCTGGCACGGCTCTGAAGACTTCAGATTACGGACATGTGTTGGTAGGAGGCCCAGGTGCTGCCATCTAGCGGGTGGTCCGAGAAGCTAAGGCTGTGAACGTGACTTTGAGATAAATGTTTTCTTCCTTATGAATACGCTCATTCAATCCATCATTCTGACACTTGACAGTGTGAATCATTTATTTTGTGTGGAACCTGAGAGCTGTGAAGCCAGAGCCCGTTGTCTCATGTGAAGCGTCCGCCAGTAGCAGGACTCCGGAAAAGGCTTGCAGTTTCAGTCCTTTCAAGAATGTCCCCCCTAGTCCCCCCCCCCCCCCCTCTCCTCTAGTCCTCTTCAAATCCCATGCAGTTTTGTAGTTTTCTCTGACAGCTCATCTGTCCAATACTTTCCTGACTGTACTTTTGCTCAGCCCGTCCCCGCTCACGCTTCTGCCCAGCCCCCTGACTCTCTCCCCCTCCACCCCCAGCCGGTCGGCTCGGGCGTCTCTGTCACTCTCATGTCGCCGATGATGTTCTCCGCACTGGCGCCGCCTAGCGTCGACCTGGGAAGCTCAGCTGGCGCCGGTGACCGCGCCGCGCCGCCAGCCGCGCCGTCGCCCCTGCTGGCTGATCCAGCGCCGGTCGGAGACGGTGACCTGACCGAGGTCACGCCCCTGACCCGGCGCCAGCTGCTGCAGGCGTTCAATTATCTGCTGAAGGTGAGTGCTGCGGATCTCAGCGGTATTTGTGGTGTTGATTGTTGAGTATGTTCGGTATCATTGAGTTCTGTGGCGAGGTCGAAATAGCGGAAAATATGGATATTACCAAAGTCATCTTCATTTGCGTCTGAGGTCAAATGGGCTATGTAATTTATGTAACAGCTCAATTAGATTTTAAGACGGTTGCCATCTTCCGATATGCTTGTAGAAGAGTTTTGTGGTTACTTTAGGGATTTAGGGATAATCCTGGACCCACACAATGACACTGGTTTGTCTCTCGCCATTTCAGAACGACGATGCGTTTTTGGGCCAGTTACACGAGGCTTACGTCAAGTCACTGACAGAGAGCTTCAGAAGGACCTGATTCACTTGGCTGTGTCATGTACCTGACAAGAGGGACCGCCCCCGCGCCGCTGCTGACTGAGGTCTGGGCAGCCCGGCAGAGGGGTACAGTCCTCTGCGGCGTCCCTTAGGGCCAGGCCGGCAGGGCGGGGCGGGCAGCGGCGACTGTGCTGTTTTACGTTGGCCTACTGCGGCTCACCGGTGGTTTTGATAGCGTTTTACCGGGCGGACAGAGAATGGGAGGACGGCGGGCAGAGGGCGGGAGGGCCGCGAGGAGAGGGCCACTCACGCTACCCGTTCGGAGAGTCTATTTATTTCCGGCTAGGATGATGACGTTTGATGGCGCACGGTGACGTTTGATGGCGCACGGTGACGTTTGATGACGCACGGTGACGTTTGATGACGTACGGTGACGTTTGATGACGCACGGTGACGTTTGATGACGCACGGTGACGTGTGACGAGAGCTGTGTCCGTGTCAAAGTGAACAGCCGCTGGGCAATACAGAAGGACCGAGCAGAACGGTGTTGTATGGTGTGGCACCGTGGGGAACATATGGCTTGTTGGGTAGGGGCAGGAGACATGAGCTGATGGATGTTTGGAAGAAATGAGTGCCAACTGACATGTTGGTCCATAAAGATATAAGGAGTGAAGTGCAGCGGAGCCGCTGGGATTCATTCAAGGCTGCGCCACAAGAGTCCATTCATGTTAGATTAGTTTCAAAATAGGTCAAGATATTGGACTAAGATGCTCCGATTTCAAGCTCAAAGCGATTAAAACCGTCGAACCCTTCTTCGAATATATTTCTAAACCTATGACTTTTCGGAAGACAGCCTGTACCTGTTCCTGATTCATCAGTGATCAGATCATTTGACGTGAAGTAGGATGTTCTGCCAAGTAATGACATAAGTTACTATATGGTCATGGGCTGTCACAGCCGGGTATAATTACGCCCTGCGCGGCCCGCGAAATAATCTCGGCATGACTTTACTTCGATTCATGGTGGTCAGTACTGCCGCTTAGAAATCCCAGGCTTGTGTATAGGTCGCGGTCAGCTGCACAAAAACAGGTTTTAGCATTTTACAGGCGTCCGTGACGTCCATCTGTGCCAGGTCATGGAATTTCCTGAGTCCGGCGTATGCTGGGGACTCTTCTCCGTAAATGATGCAGTGCTTCAAAATCAATGCTCAAATTCACCAATGCATTGGTTTAGATAGCAGGAACGCAAAAGTAGCGTGTATTGGCAGCCGATCAGGTCAACGAGGTCTCTTTGTGTAACTGCTGCTGTTGCGTCTCGTTCACACTGTGTATCATGCAATTGTCTGCATGTGCCCAGTTTATCAGTAACTCGACATCCGTGCGGTAAATCCACTGGTTTGGTGCCCACGTATATTTTAAACTTTAAAGCATTTGCCGTTCGTTTCGAATATACGAACAACCATACGAACATATATTGAACAATCCACACTTCCTATATATGCCACATCCAATGCGTTTCATGATATGCCCTCGTTCAATGATATCGATTAGGATGATTTCACGTTACCTTTGTTCATTCCCGTTCACATCATAAGTCAGCCATTCCTCTTCACATCATATCACTCCAGTTTACAGCATCTATCGCATCACTCCTTCCCACACCCTCCCACTCTGTCATTTACCGGTCACACTTGGGTCTCCACAGCACTGAGGATCCAGTCGGTAAAGTACGACACCTTGGTATACATTCCCGGCTCGCGGCCGCAGCCCTTCGGATGGCTGTGAGATACCACTCCATAGACCGCAAACAGGCCTGAGTCGAGCAACGGACAGGCGAGCGGCCCGCCTGAGTCTCCACCGCATGAGTCGCGGTTGACACCCTCGTCAGTAAACCCTGCACAGAACATGATTTGCGACTGGAAACGACGCCCGTAGGCCTCTGGTGAACCGCAGTAGCTGTCGCTGACGAGGGGAATCTCGACTCCGCGTAGGACTGGAGAAGTAACAGTGGCCTCGCGGGACGTTTTTCCCCAGCCAGAGACGTTACAGCTAAGGGGTGGCTCGAGGGTTTGGGCTGGGCGAAGACCTTGGTACTCGAGGCCCGAGCGAGGAACGCACGCTGGCTGCACCAGCTCATCAAACTTTATCAGTCTGCCGTTTGACGGGCGCAGTTGCAGCATCATGATGTCGTTGGAGAAGGTGCCTCCGGCCAGGTCAGACAGGTAGGAGTCGTGGAACTTCATGTTGACCACGGAGAAGATCTGCAGAGAGTTGGAGAACAGTCCCAGGTCGTCAAAGTCGGTCTCTCCCACGCGCACCTCCACTCGACTGATGGAGACGTCTCTCAGACAGTGAGCGGCAGAGAGCACATGTCTATCGGTGATGATGGTTCCACCGCAGCGGTGCACGTAGCTGTGACCCTCCCTGACCAGGATGCGCGCCTGCCACGGGTACTGTCCGGGAAACGCAGCCTCTCCGCCGAGAATACTCGGCACGGGGGCTGGGGCAGTGGCAGACAGCGGCACCCGTCCGCAGTCCGTCGGCAGGAGCTGGGTCCGGCCGTTGGCAATCATGTCCGCCGCCGCGCCGCCGGCCGGTCGAGGTCCCGGGGAGCCGAAGAGTTTCTCAATGGCCGGCTCGGCACCGACACTCAGGTCTCCGCCGCCGAACCGGCCCCCTTCGAGCGCATCGCTGATGTTGCGCACCTCAACACCACCGAAGGCCGCTCGATTCTGCAGCGCCAGGATCACGGAGTTGGTGATACTCGCCAGTCGACTTGCACTTAGGAAGTAAAACGACCACGAGGAGTCCTTCATTAGATCCCCACTAGGAGTGCAGGAAGCACTTCCCGGACGACAACCAAGGATACAGAGCTGCTTCTGCGACTGGTAGCTGAAATGACGGCAGGCGGGGGCCCGTAGTGCACATCGCGTCGCGCATGTCTGTCGCGATACGCTACGTAGTGTTGGCTCGTCGGAAGTGCGCATCCCGGGTAGGGACTGGAACGCTCGACTGTAGATGTCACAAATATCCTCGTTCTCGTCGCAGTCCAGTGGGTTATCGCTGGCACGGCGGTGTCTGGGAGCTGTCGGGGGGTCCATGAGCTCGGATGGAACGTTCAGCTGGAGAGAAGAGTCCGCTGCGAGTCCCTGGGCTGAACCCTGGCTACTCAGCAAGAGAAGCAACACCACTCCATTGCAGTACCGATGCACGCATTGCAACGCCATGTCGAGTCGATTTACAAGTTCGGTGTTCTCCACTCGCACACAAAACTAAAACCACCGGCCACCGTCCGCCGTCTGTACACAGTCACAGAATATTCGCACCACTCCGCTCTGGACTGCCAAGGCCGGCTCATCCGTATAAAACCGGTTCTGACCGGCAAGCGCGGCGCCAGGCCCGGACATGCAGAGGAAGCTCGGCTTTTCCGAGTTTACCGTGTCATCACATTGAACCTGTGCCTGCCTGTGGGTATCCCCGTCCTTGGCGCCTAATTCCATGACATGTATGGTAGTCGCGCCCACTTCCCTTCGAGAGGAGTTGCTAAGATTCAGTGGTACGACCACAGGTGTTCATAAGGCACTGTAACTGCCGCGTTGATTTGGGTAAAGTGTTTGCTGGCTTACATGTAATTAGCCAAGCGGCGTGCCGAAGGGCTCGTAGCGTTTCGTGTTACCGGTTACGTAATGAAATGAATGCGATGGTTCAGATGTGTGGGTACGACCAGGTACGACTTGTTTGTGACGTAGGGGCTGGGTTTTTAGCAGGATGCTATTCTTTATCAGCCAGACAGTACCTACCTACTATAGCGCCACATTTGACGAGATACTGTGAAGTTACGTGGATTGACTGCATCACGCCTTCATTACACTATGCAACAAAAAATGAAAAATTTTCTGTTTCTGGAAAGCGACCGAATTTTTCTTATTCATTGGGTCCTATTATAACCGAAATGGGCATTAGTTTTGATCTGAAAATGCTTTTCCGGTTTTCAGAGACGATTTTCGATTTTTGGCCCCGAAATTCGGTTTTTGGCCCACCGTGTCCGATGTAATTGAGTAATCGACTCGCGGTAACTTTCATCGCCTTTCCTATGCCACAAGCTTTCGAATGATATCTGGTTTTGCATATTTGCGTGCAAAAATAACGTCATAAATCTATGTTAAAGTAAGAAAATGTTGAAATTTTGTAAAAATTTGACATTTTTTTCCGATTTCATTTCAAAATAGAGGAAAAACTAAAGGCCCCATCCAAATTCTGAGCCCAGTTCCTTGAAGAGCATTCAATTTCCCTTCGGAAGGTACCTTTTTAGTGCATTTTATCGGATTCCTGTGGCGTCCAGATTGAGTTAACCTAAACACATATCCTAAGTCATATCACATAGCATTAACCTGATAACGTATGTTAACGCCATAGGATCAACGAGGGGTCAACTGAGGTCATTTTGTTGACCCCTTGTGACCTCGGGTCACACGCAGGAACTTACTTTTGAGCAGTCCTGTCGCTCAGAATATTGATCTGTTGGGGCCCGTTTTTCAAATGACTCAATCTGGACGCCACAGTAAACCGATAAAATGCACTAAAATAGTACCTTCCGAACGGAAATTGAATGCTCTTCAAGGAACTGGGTTCAGAATTTGGATAGGGCCTTTAGTTTTTTTCTCTATTTTGAAATGAAATCGAAAAAAATGTCAAATTTTTACAAAATTTCAATATTTTCTTACTTTAACATAGATTTATGACGTTATTTTTACACGCAAATATGCAAAACCGGATATCATTCGAAAGCTTGTGGCATAGGAAGGGCGATGAAAGTTACCGCGAGTCGATTACTCAATTACACCGGACACAGTGGGCCAAAAACCGAATTTCGGGGCCAAAAATCGAAAATCGTCTCTGAAAACCGGAAAAGCATTTTCAGATCAAAACAAATGCCCATTTCGGTTATAATGGGACCCAATGAGTCCAAAAAATCGGTCGTTACTCAGGAACAAAATGACTGTTGCATAGTGTTATATATGTACACGGGGTAAACCGAAACACCTCATTTTGCGTTGCTTTATCTGAGATAAAACCGTGCCCGATTTTAGTCCTGACAGACTCGGAGGTCAAAAGTACGAGTACCGGCCATCCACCGAACGAAGTTCGCATCACAGCTCGTGCCATGCTCGACATGGGCTAGCTGAACTTAGCGTGACGTTCTCCAGAGCATGTTCGGTGACAGTAGCTGGCTATAACAGTATGTAGTTACGAGTTATATGTATGTAGCTGGTACTCTTTCCCATTTCCCAAGCCCCGGACCACAGGCCGACCAGACTCCAGCGCTCCAGCGCGGCGTAAGTGTATTGCTCCGATCCGCGCTGACATGCTCCGATCCACGCTGACACTAGCTCAGATCAAATAAAGTCATCAAAAAGAAAACAAGGCCGCCACACAAGTCTCTCTCGCTGGCAGAAGCTGCGCCGTGTACGGGACGGCGGCGGCGGCTCCGTCCCGGCGCGACGGCAAAAGCCGCAGATTGGCACAAATGGTGTCCCGCCCGGTCGGGCCGGCCAGCGCTCACAATAAATACCGCTGGACGCTCTGGCCTCGACGTGCGGGCGGCCACAGACGGCGGAAGGCGAACCTCACTCGCTCTATCACTCTCTCCCTGTCGCTCCCGTTGCTCTGTCTCTCGGGCGGGTTAGTGGGGCGGCCGCCGGCGCGGTCGCCCGGGCGCGCCGCCATAAGGCACCTGATCTCATCACTGACACTCAGACTGTCGTCGGGCGACCTCAGTTCACACCTCGACCTCGAACGGCGAGCCGGGGATGTCGTTCTCGCCCCAGCGCACCACCAGGATGTACTTGCCACGCTCCTTGACCGTGTAGAACACCTGGTACTGGTTACGGCCTATGTGCTTGATGTGAACCTCCTCGCACGGGTTCTTGGGGCCGAAGCAGCCCACCCACAGCATGTCTTGACCTGTGGGCCGAGAGAAACATCCAAGTGAGCAATTCAGATGACTGTGAGAAAATCAAGATAACTTTAACATGGAAAGTCGGTCGAATCTTCAACGCGTTCGATCGACTTAGACTTCCATACGATCGAACAATCAAACAGCATTGATCATGGAACCGTTCTACGAGCATTAAATCCGAAAGTCCGTTCGGATTCCATGCTGTATAATATACACAAACCTGAAGGAAATCATGAGTCCTTCTGCTCCTCTTATAAATTATTTCGTTCAATATTTCGTTCTATCACCCTACCATTTATCCAAATTAAAAACTACCCCAATCAGCTATACGAACCGCCGAGGACCGTCTATCTCACCTGCTTTTCCGGCGTCCACGGTGAACTGGTTCTGTCTGCCCACAAACGCCTTCTTCAGTCCCATGCCCTTGGAGGTGACCTTGGTGGCGTCCGAGTTGAACTTGGGCATCGAGGGTCCCTTGTTCTCCTGTTTTCGGGCGGACACCTTCTCGATGGTCTCGACGACGACCAGCGACTGCTCCTTGGGACCCCGCTCGGCCAGCTCCTCGCCTAGAGAGCAGATAACAGGGTTAATCAAGAGCGGTCGAGGACGTGACATGAAAACTCGAACGCTCTATTTTGGCACGATATTCACAAAAGAGATATTTTCGAGTAGCATTATATTATGTAAATATGGCGTCACAAAATGTCACTTCTGACTGACGTAGGTACCGAAAATTACACGAAAAATCTGCCTAAACGCTAGATGTTTCAAGTTCAGACGTCTAAAAGACGTAAGACTGTTGCATCTTACTTCTTTCAATACTAACCACCAAACCCGCTCTCTTCCATTGTCACTTACCATCGACGTCCACCTTGAAGGGCGACCCGGCGATGTGGTAGCCATCGTACTTGATGCCCACGTAGTAGTGGCCGGGGCTGAGCGGTGTGTAGCGCACCTTGTATCCTTCATCGACCTCGGTACAGTCCATGGCCACCTGGCGGACGGCGGGTGAACTAATGTCAGACGAAGGAATAAGGCCAGAAAGTGAGAGGATATTATGCAGATGGCTGCTAGACATTAGGTCATTACACATTAAAGGTAGTGTGCCAGCTTTCTTGGACCGTATGGAGTTAATGGCCCAGATAAGGAGAACCGGATTTTTAGAACTTATCCATACCTTCAAAACTCATGGAAACTTCTTAAATTCTTCAAATTTTGAGTACCCCAGTGCGAAATTCGCCCCGACGGGTTGTCGGTCGTACCCCAACCACATTTCACACCACTATGAACAACAAATGCACACACTGAAATCGCTATTACCGATATGTTCATCAAATCAAGTTTCGATAAACCCGTTCATCATCATCTCCTGCGGTTTCGAACACGCCTGTTAGGTGGCTTCTGATGCTCGTCGAGGTCGGAATTTCCAAATACGCGTGGTGCGTCGGGCCGCGCGCTCTGACTTCGGCCAAGAAAAATGCGTCAGCTGATCATTGTCATTTCTGCCACTTGCGTGTGGTGAAATGGGGTCATAACTTATAAGACGGCTTTTTCATATCAATTATTTTACATAAAATCATATTTCAAACCATAAATAATGTTCGACAGCCAAATAAAAGAAACAATACCAATACGGGCTTACAGTTTAAGGCTCGACATTGTGTTGTCTACGATTAGACAGCTGATAACTCATTCCCGTACGTCGTATGGTCGTAACACTATAATGACCTTTGCTTATTGTCACAAGTGCGCCGCATTCGCGATTGTTGCCCGACGCCTGTTTGCAGGTGAGCCCACTACAGTTGTTATACATATCTAAAAACCGAAAAACTTTTAGGCGAAAAAGGCACTATTCCAGGCCCATTTTTGATTTTTTTTTTGCGATATTAGGTAAAAACAGAAGCTTCTTATCCTAGGAAAAATAAAATGGGAAATCTTTCAAAGGTGGCACACTACCTTTAAACATGACAGTTCAGTGGCATTGGACGAGTGTGGCACACATCAACGACAAATTAAACGCAGCTGACTACGATCAATTCGATTACCAGCTGTTCATTCATCCTGAATAACAGGCCGTGGAACGCGGGAGCTTTAGGCCTCACTTATCAAATAAGACCTCAACTAAACGCGCCCAAGTCGTTCATCCACCACGGCACTACCGTCGTCGCCTATCCCAAAATCCCACTCATTCCTCCGTACCTTCGAGGGTCCATCCACTGTCACTGCCAGCGTGCCGGCGCCGGCATTGCACGTGTCCACGATGAAGTCCGACTTCTGGCCGGTGGTGCCCTTCTCGAGGCCCTTCCCGTGCGCGTGAATCGCCGCCGGGTCGGCGTCCTGCTTGCCGATCTTCAGCCGGAACGGCGAGCCGGGCACGTGCACGCTGTTCCACTTGACGTGCAGCTGAGGGGGAGGAGACAGGGTGGGTCAGATGAAGCAATGAGACAACCCCAAGTGGTGGAATGGAGACTCATACTCGTAAGGCGGAAACGTAACTCTGCATTAAGTATTTTCAGCAATTAATACGATTTATTTCACGGATGTTTAGCACGACTGTTATAAAGGTCATACACCATAAGAAGAAAACAAATAAATGAAAATAAATAAGCAGATATTTCAATTAGTATAAGGAATATCATAAAATCATCGCACATTTTAGGTCACTAGACAAACATCTTACACCGAACGCTGCACACACTTCTTATCCTTTTCTGACATCATTTCCACCCTTCACCAGTTTTCTCATTCAGTCAGTCCCTGCATCAGTCCCAACTTTCTCCCCTGCTCCCCACCACACCCTAGCTCCGTAATCCTTACCTGGTGAATGCCGTTCTCCTTGGGCAGGAAGCGCACCGAGTACGTGTCCTCATCCAGGTACTGGGCGAAGCAGTCGTCCTCGTGACCGCTGGGCGACACCACCTTGCAGTCCAGCTGGCCCTTACAGCCGCTGCGGTCCACCGTGAACACGATCGGCTTGTCCACCTGGCGAGAATGGGACATGAAACGTGGGTGATGTGAAGTGGTAGACGCGAGAGATGTGATATGAAAGAGTGGTGTGTCGCAAGCTAGACCTTGATGTAGGCAAAAAGACCCTATTGCGTAGAAGTAGACTCACGTTTTATTAGAACCGCAACGTTCAGAGATGAGGTATGTCTACGTAGGGGTTAAAGCATTTGCTACAATTGTTCACTGTGGAAAATAAAATTGCGTGCAGCAAAGCCTTCGAAAAAATAGGGATGTAATAAGGCAGTTCAAGTTCGACTTATGCCTAGTAACTCAATGGGTTGGACATTCCATGCCTGAGCATCCCTCCCCTACCGTCCCGGAGACATAACCTTCCCCTTACTCTCCTCTACAAAAGCTTCCGTGACCTTTTTCTTCCCGCCCGTCTGCTGACCTGGACTCCGGCGTCGGGCAGCTGGTTGACGCTGACCCTGTGGGCGTCCTTGTTGGCCGGAGTGACGTACACCTTGTACGGAGACTCGGGGATGTGAGAGTCGTTGAACTTGACACCCACACGGTACTCGCCTGGAGATGAAGAAAGTCGTGAGTGGTTATTTTAGGGAGGGGCCATCGGCCATGGTATAAAAAATACACAGGCGATACCTATAGATGCGCATTGCGCATGTATGTCATGCTGCCTCATGGCGAAGTGTGATGAAAAAGACCCAACACGTATCGGTATCTGAATTCTGAAACTTCATACACAAGATCGGCCATATACAAATAAAAATAAAATGTAAAATAAAAAAGCCCACATGCTTGTCACTTTTCCGTGCATCAAGCCAGTATTATGCTGTGACCGGCGGGTAAATACGTACCAGGCTCGGAGACAATGTAGCTGACATAGCAGGAGCCGTCCTTTCGGTCCTTGAAGTCGATCTCGGCCTTGCTCGGGCCCTCGACACTGATGGCCAGCGATCCGGCGCCGGCCTCTCGGGTCCACACGTTGAACTCGTTGGGCATGTTCTGTTCGCCCCGCTCCAGACCGGGACCGCCGGCGTGGACACGGTGCGCGCCGCCGTCCTGACGGAGGGTGGGTCCCAGGTTAGGTCAGAGGTCATGCTAAAGTTCAGGTCAAAGGTCAGTCGCAGAAAAGCTCCGAATAGTTTAAAGGTCTGGTCATTTGACTGCGTATTAAACAATGAGTAGCAGGCAAGATTAGAGATGTAAGCTAGAACAGCAGGACCATCTTATTCGCCACACAAATTTTGCGTCCGCATCCGTGAAACACTCATGAAATTCCACTATGCTGTATAACGACACACGTATTTCGTCCCAACTTCCCTCCTTCGCCCCAATATCTCTCTTCTCGCTTGCTACCCTCCCTCCTCTTCCTCTCTCCCTTCTCTCCCTCACCTTGAGCGGTCCGACAGTGAACTGGAACGGCGACCCGGGGATGTGCACATCCCTGTACCGCACCGACACCGTGTGGACTCCCAGCTCCTTGGGCACAAAGTTCACCGCGTGCAGGTTATCCTCGAGCTCTGTGATGGTGGCGTCCTCGACCACACCGCCGGGGGAAGCCACGGTAGCAGAGAGGTCCAGGGCGGACACACCCGGCATTTTGAAGGTGAGCGCGCAGCTAGAGCCGACCGTGGTGATGGGGGCGGCGTCGCGGTCCCGCTTGATACGCTCCGTCTGGGTGTTGGAGCCTTCGCCGGTTACCTGTGGTGGATAGAGGGGGAGAAGGGTGTCACAGGGGTCGGGTAGTTTTCTTTAAAAGGGATCTGAATGCAACAGAATGCCGAGATATTTCTCAGATGACGGATTCATGTCATACGGCTGATCTGCACAAGTAAATGAAAAAACTCCAGAAATCAGACACGCTTCTAAAGCAAACAACGCACCTAATTGATGCACCTATTCAGAGGTCCGCTACTGTAATCTACTCCAGTCAGAGTTTTGCTAGTTGTGTCCTGTCTCACCAAAGGCCAAAGCCTCACCTTGGCAGTGAAGGGCGAGCCCTCGACGTGGTGGTCAGCGAACTTGAGGTTGATAATGTAGAATCCGGGCTCCTTGGGGTTGTAGGACACCTCCAGCCGGCCGTCATCCTTGTCGTCGCACTTGATCTCGGCCTTGCTGGGGCCCTCGATCGACATGGACAGACCGCCGTAGCCTGGACGGGGACAGAACAGGCGTGTTTTAGTTTGAAAGCCTTTCAGTCAGTATGATGGTAAGGTAACCGAACTAATGTAACGAGTAACAACACACCGCCGTTGATTTAGATCAGTAACAATATGTGACTGTGTGCAACAGCGATCCAACGCTAAAGTAACCTTACTTTTTTTCCACTTCCTGCTCAAAGATAGCCACCGCAGAGTCCCCGAGGTCTCCATACTACACGTCGATCTCACATGGCACCACACACACTTTCCATCCACATCCACCCACCCGCATCCTTCCCCGTCCCCGTTCCCCACTGACCTGCCTCCTTGGTGTCAATGAGCACCTTGTTGTCCTGGTGGGTCTTGCCCTCCTTCAGCGCCGCACCCTCCACCTTCACCTTGGAGGCGTCTCCCACCTCCTTGGGACTGACGACGATCTTGAAAGGCGATCCGGCGATCTCGACACCCTTCTTCTTGACCATGACCAGGTGCTGGCCGATCTCACGGGGAGTGAACGAAATGCCTGTAGAGTAACAGAGGAGTGAATGTCAGTCATGGAGTTAGAGCACTGAATGCTCGATGGCTGGTCAAGTGATTGATATGCTGCGTTTCATAGTAAGTGACAGGTGATATTACAAAAACAAACACAGCAATGAAACAATGCAACTGTGATGCAATATGGACAGTTACTCGATCAATTTCAGCAGTAAGAATTTCAACATGATATTGTATTCGAGCCGATTACTTTTAAAACACCCACCTTATCTTCACACATCCCAGTGCATTATTTCATAAAATACCGGCCGACCACACCACTCACCGAGGTGGTCGTTGGCGAGTTTCTTGAGGAAGCAGGGCTCCTCCAGTCCGGAGGGAGCGGTGATGGAGGCGTTGAGAGCCTTGATGTCCTTCTCCGTCACCTTTCCGGGCAGGGTAACCTCCGACTGTGAGCCCAGGGACACTTGGTTCCTCTTGCGGCCCTCGCCTGTGGGAAAGAAAGGAGGTTAACAATCGGAACCGGTGGGATGGTGCTCATTTCAATACAGATGGGAAGAAAGTAAAATTGAGAGTGAAGCGTAATTTAACCTGCAGAGCCGACAGATGCAAAATACTTCAATGAACGCCGAGGGGATACCAGCGTTATGCAATGTGTGAAAATATAAGGAAGGATAGCCACGTGTCATAACATAAAACGGTGAAAGGACTTTGAATTTAGCAGGCAGCGTCTGTGGTCAACGCGATTCATGAATGGAAGGCCACTGGCAAATGACACGGGTCATGAAATAAAGCCTTCGGCTCTGTTGACCTAGGGCTGGCAAACCAATCGCAATATATAACCAAACTGACGAGGGACTGGATTGAATCCAACCTATACACTCCCGCTGCTATGAAGCCACAATCATTAATTCACTTCATCCATAACCATCGGTTATATCTGACAGGCAGGCAGACTCGATGTGTCTTATTACCCATCGCTTCTATCATCACTCCATTCGTCATACACATTGACAAGTGAACTGCCAAAACAAACCCATAGTTCGTAGCACATTAGCCCCACTTATAACTGGAAGCACATCCAATACAACCGCCCTACCCACTGTCTTCCTCTCCACCCCATCCAACTCACTGACCTGTGACCTTGACTGAGTACGGGCTGCCCTTGATGTGTTTGTCGGCAAACTTCACGGCCACCTTGTATTCTCCGGGCGAGGTGGGCAGGTAGGACACGGACACAGTGCCGTCCTTGTTGTCATGGCAACTGATCTCCGCCTTGCTGGGCCCCTCGACGGCCAGAGACAGACCGCCTGAGGGGGGGGGGGGCGTCAGGACCGGAGCTGACACACCTGTGGGGGAGGGGGAGCTGGTGGGGGGGGGGGGAGGGGGGAGCCCAGGGGCGATGACAGGACAGCTGGTCATAATTTGTTACCGGCGCGCTAGCAGTCGGGCTTGGTGGGGAGTTCAGATAACATCGAACAGAAGAACTCAGTTGGGTGTGTGTGGAATTGATACATGTTCAGTAAGTTGTTACTTGGAACACTTTTTTATAATGTAGTTTAGCATCAGAATCAGCCATAGACTATGTATACAGAGATGACAGAAGTCTATGGATCAGGAAATTCTAATAACCATCTCATCATTCGATTTGATCAGATTTAAAATGACCGCAATTCAAGCATAACATGACGCCGAATCGGCTGGAAATGCGTACTATAAATTGCACTGGTCAAATATAAATAAACTGCACCAAATCTCAGCTCGAATAAAAATTGCTTAACTAAGCAATTAAAAAACTGCTCTTATGCCACTGGACAGCGGAAATATACAGCTAAAAGAAGCTTCAACAAAGCAGAAACCACACTATATCCACGCTAGAAATTCTGACTAAATCATACGAAAATAAATACCCAAAGCGTATAAAACCCTAATGTTCCTAAATCAGAGCTCCGTCTATACGAATCGCTAAAAGCACTAGAACACATCACACTACTCTCGCCTTCCAAATAAAACCGTTCTCCAACTCACACACCCCTAACCCCACTCGGGTACCGTCTTTGGGACTGTTTGGGACACCCAGGGGTCAACAGCGCCATCTACAGCAGAAGCCGACAGTCGAGCGCCGATCGTCCAATCAGAGACGAATGCTCTGAGCAGCAACCAATTAGAAGCGGGCACGGCACGCCGTCGGCCAATGAGCGGCCGGCATGCGGAGAGTTGTAGGTGATATTTACCGCGCATCTGGTCACTACCTGCGCCGGCGTCCTTGGTCGAGATGGTGAAGTTGGCTGGTTCGCCGGTGATGCCGTGAACCAGGCCGGGGCCGTGCGCGGTCACATAGCCGCTGGAGATGGAGTCGACGTGGAACTTGAACGGAGAGCCTGCGGGAAGAAACAAGGTGTGGTTACATTTTGGGTGTCACTAAGCTGTTCGTCACATATCAATCACAAATCTATAGACAATAAGCTGTCTTTAAATTTTGCAGGAATGTTCACAAGTCAACAATATTGCGTCAAACGACGAGCACGTGGCTTTTGCGACGTGCTCGTCATTTCAGATCTACTGACTACTACATAGAACATGACGAAAGGAAAAAAGAAGTTAAGGAAATAGGCGAAAAACGTGTAACAAGCTAGCAGCTTTAAATCCCACCTGTGGAGGGCTTCCCAGGGATGGAGTAACTGGAACGGGCGGAGGTAACACGGTCACTCTCCAGCTCAGACGCACTATCCACCGAGCGACGCTGTCGGTCCTTCCCTGCCGCTCTCCGCCACCGTCCCCAGCTCGAGCTCTGTTTCCCGTCCTCGCCACCACGCGGCGCCACCTCCGACACCGAGGTGGCCGAGCGAAACACGCCCCCTTCCGCCACCGGCCGCCCTCCTCCGCTGCTTGATCCTCCAGTATCGCTCTCAGCCGCAGAGGCAATCTCAGATTCGACACTCTTGGAGGAGGCGCTCTTCAGTCTCGGCGACATCCCCAGCTGCTCCAGTGCCCTTTCGCAGCGCCGCCGCTGCCTCTCAGCAGCTCGATCGCTGTGCTCGTCTTTCTTCTTTACTCGACCCCCGCTGGACATTGGTATACCAAGTGGCGGTTTTCGTGGACGAGCTATGATACCCGGACTGGCTAGCGCAGATCGCAGAGATTCAGCTGAGGAGCTGGCTGAGAGAAAGCCACCGCTTTCTGCAGCCGTCGAGCAGCGGCTTGTCAGTGAGATCTCGTCCAGCCCACGTCGTCTCGGCGTCGCCACCGTCGCTAACGGTGCAGAGACGAATGATTCGTCGGAACTTTCGACGAGCTCTGTGCGACTGGGGCGATGACGCGACTCCGTCCTGACACCACGAGTGGGACAGGCGGTGGGCTGGCTGCGTGGCTGTTCAGGAATCAGACTGGTCACGGTAGTGAAACGCCTCTCCTCAGCGTGAGTCTCACTTCCCAGCACAAACCCGCTACTCAGTGTGGACTGGCAGGGCGCACACGGGTCGCCACCAGCGCCATCTGTTGTCAGTGGACGTAAATTCGACTTGCGTGCCGCCACCACCAGGGTGGTGGAATGAGGGCGCCGGTCTTCGCGCGGAGTGGCGTCGGTTTGACAGCAGTCTGCTCGTGTTTCGACGTCCACAGAAGAGACCGTTGTTTGAGATGCACATTCTGTCCCGTGTGAAACTTTGTCGGGCCTTGGTGTGGTTTGCGTTTCCAGGGTTTTCGTGGCGTTAGCAAGCGTTTGAGAGGCAATTTCCTGCCCCTTTTTGGATGCAGCTAGAGAATTAACAAGAATTGGAAGTGCGCTGGAACTTCGTTCAGTATTTTTAACCATTTCGGCACCTTTCTTCTCTCTCGGAACATTCGAAGACGAATCCACATCGATCGATTCAGAATTGCTCTTCGAGGCTTCGGACACCTTAGCTGCATGTTCCTTCAAAAGCTTCACTGACGAACCACCGGCCTTTTGGGATTTTCGTTCAGCGGCACAACTTTCCAAGTTCGATTCTTCAGCAGGGGACTGATCATTCCTGGATAAACTCGTGTTCTCCTTCGATGACTCATTAGCTTTCGATGTTCCTTGTGTATCCGACTTGTCAGTAGCAGATCCATTGGCCCGACCATCAGTATGTATTGGGACATTTACTTTTTCCTCGGTCTTGGCTTTTGAAGTTTCGTCCATGGAAAGGGAAAGAGGGCTTTTCTCTACCGGTTTCTTATTTATCAAGTCAATCTTTCTTTTCACAAAATCCTTACAAATACAATAGCCGCTTTCAGATGAACTGTTAACGGAACCATCGTCTCGATCGTAAGCTTTACTGGATAACAGTCGTTCTTTGATATAAACTCTCCTGTGGACACCAGACCTAACCGAGCTGTGTTGGCATACGGTGTCTCCCAAACCGACCCAGGATGAGCCGACCCAGGATCACTTCTGTTTCGCTCTCAATAAGCCCTTTCCTATTCGCTTCTGAAAGTTCGCCTTGTCCATTAGCTTTGACATCATCCATGCATTCTTGCTTATTCACCGCACCTTTCCCAACGGCACTAGTTTCTTCTTGCGTGAATTTCGATCTATGATTGCGGGCGAACTTTTTATGTCTTTCAGCGCCCTTCAACTGAACGCTTTCGGTCGTCCTGCTAGCATTGCCTGTTTGATCGTCGTCATGATGCGAATTCGCATCCCTGTTCTTTGCAGGAAGCACCTCAGTTTTCTTTGAGTTCTCGCTCTTTGAGAAGGATGATCGACTTCTTATAACCCTCTCTCTGACCTTCAGACCTTCCTCTGCTACTCTCACCCACTCGGGTTTCCCTGAACTCTCCCTCGGTTTCACATCAGCCACCATCGCTGACTTCTTCAGTTTATCCACACTGGAGCTCAGCTGTTTCTCAATCGTCGGACTATTGCTGCTCTGTCGGCCTTTATCGTCCACATCCAGTGCCATTTTTAACGGACTCTGCGCTTGGTACGGATCGTCCTGCTGCTGCCTCCAGCGGCCGGGCCCCGTAGTCGTAGTTCGTAGCCAGCCGGCAGGTGGCTGCACCGTCGGCACGAAGCCGGCGGAGGCCAGGGAGCCCGCCGATTGATCAGATATGTCCAATCGAGGGATCACGGGGCTTGGTGTTGGCGATTCAGAGGTATCTAGGACGGAGAGACAGGATAAGGATTAGGAAAGGAAGTAACATCACATTTAATCGCACACGAATAATGTCACCAGACGAGCTCAAGACATCTTGCAGCCTCTCCCCACCCACCGTGCATTACTTTCCAACACGTCCCCGCCGACGGCACCACGCAAAGGACATCAAACACCACTGCCAACAGCAGCAGTAGCATGTTTATAAACACTCCCCTGTGACACCTACTGGCACGAGACAAGACATGGCCCTGTTCCTGCGGTAGATTTGATTGTCACTCACGAGCAAACATTCCACACCCAGTAGCTGTTTGTACCCACCTAACGCTATCCTCTCTTTCCAACAAAGCTCTTGGACTCACCCTGGACATTTTCGCCGTTGTACTTGACGACGAGCTCGTGCAGGCCTTCCTCTTTCGGCTCATACTTGACCGAGACGGTTCCGTCCCGGTTGTCCTCGATCAGCGGCTTGTCGACGTTTCCGCTCGGCATGTTTACCTCAGCTGTGGAAGCGGCAGGCAGTGTGGTCACTGGTCAATGACAAACCGATCTACACAGAGCAACGTAATGTATCGGGTGATAGTCATACAAGCGAGAGAATGTCGGACTTACTTTCCCTAAAACGACGCATGGTGATACGCGGTTATTTTATTTATCAAACGGTTTACAAAGTTCATCCGATCAGTGTGTGCAAGATTGGAAGCGCTAAACAAAGGAAGACGGATACTTGTGAGCCCATATTGTGGAGCAGAGCGAGGAACAAATAAAAATATCCGATACAAATAATTAATTTTGATAATCGGAGCACAGATAAAGCGAGCCACCGCACCTCAGCGCCATTATTTGCAGTACATTTCTCACTTTACAAAAACATCTCGTGACAATGTCCATCAAACACCTTCAAACACCTGACCACTACAATGCGCGTCCATTATTATTCCACTTACCCGTCTACAGGAACGAGCGACTATCCAGGACCGACCCACCATCCGTACGACCAATGAACCACAGAGTCCCTCTCACATCCCCAGAGCCGACCAAAGATAGCGCCGCCTCCGACTACTCACCAATAGTACAGACCACTCACTATAACATAACTAACAAACCACCACTTAAATCATCCAACAAGTATCAACCCACCCCTGGGACTGACCTGTGACGTGTCCGCCGGTGGTGGGCAGGGGGATGTTATTGAGCTCGACTGGACGGTACTCGAAGTACTCCTCCCGGGTGTGTACAGTACTACTGGTGCTGGTGGTGGTGGCCGAAGACTGGAGGTGCTCCGTACGCGTGCGGCTGACGTTATCCTCCGACTGGGCCTGTTGGAAGGAGGAGCAGGGGTGTAAGAGATGAGATTTGCATTGGGGAGCGTGAGGGGTTAGAGCAGCGGCCATGGTCATGGATCAGGAGTCTACATACTGCCGACATGGAGAGACATTTCATCATACAACGATTCAAAAACGGTTGTTATAGGCCGATGAAAAAAGAGACAGCAATAACAGGCATCATCAAACTGCATCAAATTAACTGCATCAAAAAGGCATAAGGATTCCTACACTGTCTAGTGCCTGGGCATCGTTTAGCCACAGATCCAATCTAGTCACAACTACCTATGTTGTTCTCCATAAGTGCGACATAAACACTGGCCAAACTACCTTTACTACAACACGGAACCCCTGTTGCTGACACACTAGCTGCGTAAATACACTCTCAGCAGGTGTCCAGTCCCACAAGACCACCGGGGAACAGTGTAGCCTCCACACAGACGCGCAGTCTCCTTGGGAACGCAGCAAGCCGCCGAGTTCCGCGCTACGGTAAATTTATTTTACGTCTCGTCGGCTCGCGCGGCGCGCGGTCGGCAGTGGCAGAGAAAAACGAGGAAGCCGAGGGGCGTGGGCAGTAATGCGTCCTGAGCCGCCCGCCGGGACAGATGAGTGATCAAAAACAACGCACACGCAGAGGAAATTGGTGCGGACAGTTTCCGGAGGCCAGTGATGATCTCCGCTCAAATAAAGCGACATAGAAAACAGCAAGAGGCGGAACGAAGAACGGCGGCGTGGAATTCGCACGGAATTCGAGACGGTATGCACCATGTAGACAAACTTTGGAATGCGTCGTGTGCGTTCTTAATGATCCGTATCTACGTGCACCAACAAAAAATGCCCCGAAATCTAACGGGAACTTTGGGAAAAGAGCATGATGGTTGCATGATTTAGACCACATAACGAAAACCGTCACATTCAGAGAGCTTTGTGCTCCGCAGTGAGGCTATTGATGCGAAGCCGTCCCAAAGTCTCTGACACATCACCTCTCATCTACTCGGAGTATTGTGAACTAATGACGTGTCTAAACAATCTATGAGCCAACCGGGAAAAGGTCACCACGCAACTTTTTCTGCCCTGGTGTGGGACGACATTCATTATTGTCACAGGAACTTGGCAAACAACGGACACTGATAGGGATGGGTTCCCTATCTTGGTACTTCCATGAACCAAAACAAATCGTCATTCCGTGATGTCGCCCGATAGAAGTAACCCATCCACAACTATCAGGTGATTACCAAAAAAATGAGAGGCAGTTGGTTCCAAAAAATAAGCAATTAATGCCTTTTTATATTTTCGAAAGTACACAGCCTGTGGTCTATTGTTTATCTACCAATATCATAGTCAATGAGTGCAAAGAAGTGTGGTAGTGTGATGTGTAGTGTGAAGTGTGTAGTGAGTGCGAATGGGATGGTACGATGCTACGATGGGAAGCCAGGAGAAAATATTGCGCGATTAAATCTTCGATTCTAATGTGCACGCTACATCATAATATTGATCTGATTTAAAATAGTAAAACATCAGATAGCGAATATTTGATGTGATATGTGGGTATAGGTAGTCGCTAAAAGACAGAGTTCGGCTATATCACACCAGTATAACGCCTTTTGGGGCGACTAACGGAGCGAGCGAGAGGGTGGGCCTTGCACGTGCGAAATTGCGAGGGGGTACCTCCAACTGACTTGTGCACGGCACCCTACTAACTGGTCTCTAGCGATGTGCCAAATTTGGGCACAATCGGCCCAGCCGTTCTCGAGATCTGGAAGCGGCACCCTGCACGTGCGCACGTGCAAAATGGGTCCCAACTGACTTGTGCACGGCACCCTAATAACCGGTCCCTAACCGTGTACCAAATTTGAGCGCAATCGGTCCAGCCGTTCCCGAGATCTGGAAACGACCCCTGCACGTGCGCACGTGCAGCAGCACCCCAACTCTGGCACATGTATATCCAGTGCCTAGTGGGTGCCTACCTACATGCCAACTTTCAGCGCAATCGGCCAAGTAGTTACCGAGATATTGCAACAATTACAAAACTGACACCTCTTCGTTTTGCACGTGGCACGTGCATAAGGGGTCACCCACATGCATCGGGAATAGTCCAATACTTGGTAGAAGGAATGAAGCTACCCTACAAAAATTACCGCGTGTAAATCGGTCAAGTGGTTGCTGAGATATAAGCCTCGCAAAAGCGTGACCACGGCCGGCCGGCCGCTCATACTCAGAAATTTCCGTTAATCTAAGGAAAGACTACGCTCGCTTCGCTCGCTCCGTAACAAATTTTTGCTTTCCGAATATTTCACTTTTGCTGTTATCACCCCTAATTCAATATACCCTGGTTATCACCTATTATCTAGCGATGCACGGTGGTTATTATGCAAGTGATGCCACCAGGGGCGTCGTTTTGTATAGGCCTGGGAGTGCCCGAGCACTACCAATGTTCAGCTGAGCACTACCAATGTGTTGTTGAGCACTACCAACATTTTTCTTCACTTATTGAGAAAATTGCATTCAAACATGTCATACAAATAAAATGAATGAGGTTCTTATGTATAAAATCAACATGATAGCAAGTAACTTCAATGGTAAGTGGTAACTATTGATGAAAATCTATAGACTTACTCCACAAGTAGATTGAATTTGAATTGGTTGACCAATTCAATCTTCTTGTAGCGTACCTAAGTCCATAAATTTCCATCAATACCTAGGTATCATTTTCACTTTCCACATCATGTCATTACGTCAAGTAATTTCAAGTTATGGGGTACCTACCTACCTACCTACCTACGAAGTTTCACAATAGACTCAGGGGCGTCGTTTTGTATAGGCCTGGTAGGGCCCGAGCCTTACCAATGCTTATTTGGGCCCTACCAATGTTCGCTGAGCCCTACCAATCTTTTGTCACTTATCAGTTGATAAAAAATCAAAATAAACAGATAAGCAAATATTAAATAAGCACATATGCAAGTACATAAATAAGGTTCTAGCCACAGTAGGTGCATGTAGCTGACAATGAGGTTTCACGTGTCTAGGACTCCGGTCCTTAATGGATTTTAAGAGGCTCGAAAACGCAATTGGTTATAGAGGTCCATAACTGCCTCTGAGTCCCGCATACCACGCGACCGCCCCTAATAGACCCCAATCCGTCTCCACACCAGCCGCTGGAGGCCCTACACCGACTTCGGAAGGTGCCGCGGTGCTCCAGAATAGGCCATAGGTATATTGATTTGAGTGGGTGATGCAGCCTGATTCCCCAGGGTTCAACGCCAGGTCATTACCGCATCAGACCCCGAAAACTGAAGCTCGTAACTACGAGGGGCGTTCAAAAAGTTTCGGGCCGAACAATGAAGGAGTTGGAATTTTGGCCTGCAAGGCGGTGTGTTAAATGATGTGTTATTGGGATGTCCACTTACGCAAATTAAGTAAGTGGCCATTAATTAAGTCTCTTCTGTGATTGATTCGGGCTTCTATTCGTAGCATAATTTGCCATTTCGGATAGGATGGGCGACGCCCAGAAGAGAGCAGTGATTCGTTTCTTAGTAGTTAGTGCAGAAAAGGCACCAAGCGTTAACCTTCGCCCTGGGCATTTTTCATAACACGGCCTGGCAGGGGGGAGGGGTCGATGCGACCCCCCTCCGCTCGTCAACTTTCCAAAACAGGGGCACACAATTGATGATGTGCGTCCATTCGATAAACATCGAGGAGAGGCTATAGGGAAGCCGACGTAAAGTGTGCACCTGATCCGCGACCACGCACCTGCGTACATGGGCGGGATGACGAACAGTGAAGCGATGAGCTTCGAGTTGTTGTCGCATCCACTTTTTTCTCTCCGAACCTTGCACACTCTGGTTAGTGATTGCCACCTCTTCCCCAACATAAGAAAATTAGCAGCGGCAACCTCCCTAACAGCAGGGAGACGAAATCAGCCGTCTTGGACGTGCAGGATGGGTCCAAAACCCACTTGGTTATGGAGGCCTTGAGGGCTCTCGCGAAGCGCTGCGCGAAATGTGTTTGTCTTAACGGTGTTTATTTGAATAAATGAACTTTTTGGTCTAATGAGTCGATGCTGTATCTCTCTGCTCCTTCATGGTCGGGCCCGTAGCTTTCTGAACGCCCCTCGTACTGTCATCCTTTTATTTTGGCAAGCAGGTCTTTCTAACTATCGTTGTGTTTCCAGTCCTCGTTAGTTGTCGAACCCTTCAATTGGCGTGGGTCTTCAAAACCGTTCCTGGCCCCGCAGCCGTCTTTTTTAGTCGGCTTGGGCCTTCAAAGCTGTTCCTGTCCCCTTTCAGCACAGCCGTCCTTTTAAGTCGATGTGGGCCTCTTTCAGAATGGCGTGCATTCCGCCGACACTATTGCCTATATAACTGCACGTTTTGTGCATGGCGTCCGGTGTGGACCCAGATTTCCAAAGTTTTTTTTTTTGTGTTTTTTTTAGATTTCGGTTAGTCTTGTCAATGACCAGGGCGAAAAATAAGTGGCCGAAATCCGATGAGAAAGGCAGATTTGGGGGTACCCTACCTTGTAAGCCCCGTCATATATGGCCAGCCGCCGCCTTTGGGCACTACCAATCATTTTCGGAAAACGACACCCCTGGATGCCACTTCTATTTTCATGAGATATATTTCCATTACCATTATCGTTCCAATCATCTACAAGTCCAATTCTTCGTTTACGTTATAGTGTTAATCTGTTTTGACCCCCGATATTTTTGCGTTTACCTGCATTGGGTCTCCATTTGCCTCGGAGTTGCGGTGGAGCTCTAGAAAGCTTTTCGGCAGACACAGAAGAACGGAAAAGCGCAAACAACGGATGACTTAAAGAATATTCGCTATTAGTAAATCGACCAAGAAAGTATCTCCGTCCCTTCTTGTCCCTAGAAGTCCCTTCTTGAAACCTAGACGTAAGTAAACTAATTCAAATTGCAAAAAAAAACATTCAGAGTTTCGTCAGGTCAGTAATCCCTCACCTGTTGTGAGCTCCGCTATCCGGCGCTCCTCAGGAGCCGAGACTCAGAGATGAGGACGCTACAGGGCGGCCCCACACTCTGCCGGGGGCGCACAGAGCGACCGGGCGTCGAAATTTTGGCGCCGACTCAGTGCGCGCGTGCGGTCCCGGTTGGTCGATGAGACACTAGCCCCGCCCATCGCGCCAAATTTGGACGGCAGACAATGTCCTCTTGACCGCGAGACGACCAAGCCTTCGTCGTCACCCCTCCCCACAAGGGGACCCCACACGTCCGCAGTCGTGGCAGCGCGTTGGGTACCGTCCAAAAGTTCACTGGCACTTCTCGAAAGTTCGATGTACCGAGGGCACTTCTCGGTCAGGATGGAAGCCACGGTGCCAACAGTCAACAGACAATACGTACCACAAAATAGCGTGTTCAAGCCTGGAGTTTGGGTTAACAGGTATCTTAAATAGTTGCAATAATCTTATGCTCGTTAAAAAAGCAAAAACAAATTTTTAGGTAATTTTCACCCGTGGCACATAGTGCAAATGAAAGCCACAAATCAAATATCTTCTTTTGTTTAATTTCGTAAGTTGTACCTTGCCAAACAATAGCAAAACGTTTATGTTTCTCAGCATTATGAAAGCTTCAGAAGAGCCACACAGCTCCCATGCATCCGTATTGCCCGCGCGCGCCGTGCTCAGCTGCCGTGGTTCGTGTATTGCGGCACAGTCTACCATCCCGTGCGCTGCGGCACAGCATGATCCAGGCGCTAACGCATACTGCCATCTACCGGGTGTTTGAGGCACTTACGAAAGAAGACGGATGCCTTCACATACCTTCTCTGCGGGAAAACGAGCGAAGGGTACTTTTTATATCAAATTTATACCTTTTTAATGAGCCGTCAACGAGTCTCTGGTTCAAAACAATAATAAGCGGCCAGAACTTCGTTGTAGGTATGGACTTATTCAAACTTCCATCGAAGGTCGCCGTGATCCATCATTCGCTAAATCGCTTCACTACAACCAATCATTTATGCTCCGTACCACAACCACCCACCTCTACCATACTTCTCATGAAGGTATGGCCCCTTCAAACAAACATCGCGGGGAGCATCTATCCGAGCCAAGCAGGGGCGTCAAGCCCAACCATTTCATCAGCACTGCGTGAGCATCAACACTTCATCCCGACGTGACACATCCTTTGCCACATGCCATAGGAAAGAGGCCGGCTGACAGCAGTGATCACACGCGCCACTGGCCACCGGCCGGGACGCAGGCCAAACGGGCGAGTCACACATCCTCCGCGGGCGTAAGAAGCGCCGGTGGAGCCGCGAGAGGATGATGAAATCACAGCTGAGCGGTTGAGAGTGGTATTGTGGGTGTAAGGAGATCGTGCGTGACTGTAGAATAGTGATTTATGAGGCACGATAAAAATATGTAATATACTCTCTCTAACTACATGCGAACAAACGGATTTATGGAAACCGTTCAGTTAACATGCTGACATATCAAAGATAAAATATTGCAAGACTAACAAACTCCTGCAAAAAATTGACATTAACTCGGTATTTGCGTGCATTCCGACGAAGACTTCGTGGTTGACAGATGTTTTCATGACCCGCGTGACATTTCGGGTAGATTGAAGACGGCCGTGATGGTCAATTAGCTAACTGTCATCAAGGTGTCAGACAGACGCGCTGTATTTGTCACGGGCGCAGCGTCGCATTTGTCACAGGTGCAGCGTCACATTTGTCACAGGCGATGTGCCGCATTTATCACCGCATGGAACGGCGCAGCTTTGGGCAGCGGGTATCGGGGTATATCCCAGCAGGCACTGTCTCTCCATGGTTGGTGATCTTTGAAGAATTACCGCAAAGGCTAGCGGCAGCAACGATAGCAGTGCGGCGACGGTCCTGTTGGTTACAAATGCTTCACAACCGACCAGGCTTTGAAAATCAGTCACAGCTCGGGAGCGCCACCACCTGGCTGGCTCAAGTCAGCGTCAACAGGTTGGCGACCGATCAGACGCACCCGTCCGTTGAAACGCGACTGCATCACAGTCATCTCCGCTGATTCATTTGCGGTGTGAAAATGGCAAGAGATATATGACGAGCAAACCATCCCCGGGCCTCACAATTCGAGTCTCCTTGAATCCCACCGCCCAGGAAGTCAGTCAGCAACCACACTACAACAGTACGAGCCAGCGGGACACGACAAAGGTCGTCCACGACCGGTGGCATCCCTGGAGCAGTCCCTGACGAGAGACAGCCGGTACGGTGGCAGGGCGGGGAGACGGAACGGCCAACCACAACACGACAGGGGAGCGGACCAATAGAGGACCGAGGACAGGGGATGGCAGGCGAGCGGCGCACAGCGGACACTTTGTCACCGGGTCGTGCCTGGAGCGAGGTGGTGCGACGCCGAGACCGCGTAAATAATCCAGAACAGAGACAGACCCTCAAATGCATATGAATGTCAATTTTATCTAATTCCTTGTTCATCGAGAGCGAAGCATCCTCCGCTTCCTGCTTTGGTTCCCGAACAACTATAAACAACGACTCTGTCAAATGTTATGGGGCTTTTGTGAACCATTTGCGAATTATTGCCATAGCACACAAGAACACCACCTCAAGACCACCCAGCTTCGACGCTAAGAGGGCAGCATTATATAAGTCGACATCAGTCAGCGCGTCGTTAGTGCCACTATGTGTGGTCGAATTCCGGCTACTCTGCCAGGGCCGCTCAGTCACCGAACAACAAACGGTGACTGAGAGAAGGCAGAGCGGCAGGCAGACGCCACTCAGTGGAGAAAGAGGATGGGAGACTGGTAAAGGAACAACGTGGACAGAGGGGATAAGCGAGGTCACACTAATTTTGTGAGCAGGGAGCCATGCCGATTTATAAATTTTACTGAGTCTTACTAAAAACCACCCGCAAAGTGGAGACCGAAGGCAGTCTACTATTGAAGCTACTAATGGCTGTTTAGTGTTTAGCCTCAGCTGAAATGATGCCACTATATCCCTTTCGTTTTCACACCAAATGTGCAAAACAAAAACACTGAGCTCCTTCGCCTCAGTGTGCGTTCCACGGCCCCCTCCCTCGTCCCTCCGCACTCTATAAATACCGTGTGAGCACAATCGTTTAACGCGGCGCCAGACCATGTCAGTATGACGCCTTACTCGTGGCATTTTAACGAGACAACAAAGTTGAGCGAGCGCCACTGGCAGCGGGGGCGCGGCGGTCCGCCCGCCACTACAGCTGGCAGGCGGCCCGCTGCGAAATTCGGGACTCGGGAGGTCCAAAGGGGGAGATCCCTCCACAGCATACAGCACTAAAATCGTGAATTTCCATGAAGTACATAGTGCTTATCGAATGTCTCGAAGCCAGAGAAGCTCATGGGCCGTAGAAGCCCAATCACTTCATTCCAAGCGTGAAAAAGTCATTCTATGGAAATTTATTGCCTCAGTCCATCCACTCTTATCCATCGAAATGTGTCACCCAATAAATATCACGCCTAGTGAGGAACCCGGAACGAGAATTGATGGACAAAAACTACTTCATCCTGCCACCCTCAGTCTGGCGAAGCGCCGAGATTGCGTGAGACAATGGCCAGGAAAAGCAGCCTCCGGATGCCAGACGTGGCAGTGCGTTTTTTTAACGTCCGGAACTTTGCCAAGCGATCACACGGGGTATATTCTCGGTTAAAGCCATGCGTCAGGTGAGTGATTGCCGTTCCTTGGCCGGCTCAGTGAACTTAACCAATGGTCGGGTCGGGGGTGTGGCGGGTTATCGGAGGAACATTTGTACCGGTCAGCTATAAGTAGAAATTAGAAACAAAGAAGTCCCAGGAAAGCTACATTTTTTCGCTCTTGCCGTTGTTCCACCAACTTCCGTCCAAGCGCTACCTACCTGCAATCGTTGACACATAGCCATGCTAGAAAAATTCCATCTACAGAGCTTTGCCGCTAGAGAAATTCCATCCCAAAAACTTTGCTATCCAACAGACGAACATCAATGTTCGCAGTCTGGTGGAGACCGGTAGAGCGGTAGACTCACCGAGAACGAGTAGAGGCCGTCGGGTACCGGCTGGCCGCCGAACTTGATGTTGAGCGAGTACTCTCCGGCGTCCTTCACCTTGTAGTAGATATTGAACGTGCCGTCGCCGTTGTCGGTCACGTCGATGTCCACGTCACTGGAAAACAAAACAGCGTCAAAATCTATTGAACGTGTGTCTAGACAATCGTACCATAGCTTATCCCTTTTAAGCTTCACAAGCTTCAAGCGTTCAGAGAAAAAAGACAAAGGCCGTTGACAAAAACACTGTAACGGTTCAAACGTAGCTTAGTCATAACTGATGACGTAATAAAGGAACGCTGTTGTTGAAAACAACAGGCGTCTTGAGAGCAAACAGTCGCATAGCACAATACAAACTTCATCCACAACGGCAGAGCTTGCATGATAACTAAATCAAGTTGGCGTTTCATTACAAGAGTTCATCAAAACAGGATAACTAAGATAGATCGCTAAATTTTATGATTTTAAACACTCAGCCCTTTCTCAAACACCCTTCCCCTACCCAGTCCCCTCCCCGGAACTCACCCGGAGCCAGAGGTGGAGCGGATACGGCAGGTGACGTTTCCGTTTCCGGCCTGTTTGGCGTCCACGCTAATACAGTACTCCTCGCCAACGCTGAGCACCTGATCGCGGTAGTCACTATCCTCGATCTTGCACTTGTCGGCCTGGAGTGGAGGAGCGAAAACGGTCAGCAGGAGGCGACAGAGATATACGATGCTGGAGGAAATGGTCATGTTTACAGCTGCTGGTCTCGTTTAGAATCTCTATATAACTACTTCTTGATACAGAGACCAGTATGGTTAACTAGTGATGCGCGTATAATGCAATTCCTAAACCACGGCGTCAATTACAAAAGCGAATTACACCTTATATCTATATGCAGTTATAAAAACTCTTTAGTTCAAGCACCAAAGTGTTTTCTTACAGGTGACGGCACTAAGAACTCCACCCTATAGCCTTAAAAAACGGAATTATCATCATTCGTTACTCGTAATTCACCTAAGGCGTATGACACCTTAGGTACCCAAACCCACCGCACCCTACTCTTCAACATATAGGTAACTCACATGTCCGGTGGCGAAGGCCTGGACGGGCACGGGCGACCCGGCTACCTCCTTGCCGCCGTACTTGACGTGCACCTTGTACTGGCCGCAGTCGTCCGGGGTGTACCGGCCCGTGTACGTGCCGTCACCGTTATCTACCATCTCCACCTTACGCGGGTAGTTGTCCGGACCCTGGGAGAGAGAGGAGAGGCACGGTGTGTCATGAGTGCGAGAATGATCAAGCGCGAAGATGAAGTCACCAATACAAAAATCGTTAAAATTACTCAATCTTAGCCTAAATGTCGGTGTACGCATGCAGTGGTAAGAAAGCGATGGTTCAATAAAATATATGGTGACAAAATAAAAAAGATGACAAAATGCGGTTATTAAAATAATTAACCGCCAATGAATGTATCTAATGAATATTTTGAATTTTTCACGAGCACTTACAGGTGATATCAAGATAACTTTACTACTAGGTGATACAACTCAAAAATCAATCGCCAAATCATCAAGCCACATTTACGTATAAGCCCTTGTAAGCGGTTCTGCTATCCGCCAGTCCTCTCCAAGAACACAACGCCTCCCAGACCTGTCCCCACATACCACCTGTTCCACTTCCGCCTCTCTCACCAGGATCTGCGCCTCGAGGTCGCCGAAGCCGGCGTCGCGGGCGTCCACGGTAAACTCGGTGGGTAGGGAGGCCGGCACGCCCTTGCTGGAGACTCCCGGGCCGGTCAGGCGCACCTTGTTCGGCTCGCAGGTCGGCTTCACAGGCATACGCCACGGGCTGTAGGAAGGAAGTCCGGGCAGGTCAGGCTAGGCCGATGCAATTCAGATCAGAAAAGGTTACCGAGTTCACTTCGAAGCTACGTGTGTTTGTGTATGAACTAAGATCGTATCATAACCGAATTCGACGTTTGGATCAACCAGTGCGGAGTCAAAACGAGCAGCCGCCTTTCCGGTCAAATCAAAACGTCGTAACTACCTCGCATAACATTGCACCTGTACTAGCCACCCAGTTGTGAGTTGTCTGGTAGAATGTGTGCTCAGCATCCACAGCCTGGTAAAATAAAATATGCTGCCTAGAGTAGGCCAAAACTTAATTACATACCGATATCATTGAAACTCATTAGTCATTACTAGCCCACAGTGAAAGCCGCACTGCAAATATCCCACCTGATACCGTACTGCCCTCTACCAACACACATATTGCCCACCGACCTGTCCTTGATGTCGCGTCCAGCGAGCGTCACCCTCGGCATGCAGATGCTGCCCTCGGGCGGCGGGTGGTACGTCACGTCGTACGTGCCGTCGCCGTTATCCTTCACCACCGGCTTCCGTGGCAGAGGACCTGACGGACGGAGAGAAAGGTATTAGGAGGCGCTAGTGGTGACGCCAGGTGGCGTCTAGTGAGTAGGACAGCTGCGCTAGCAGGGTTTGGCTGGCTGTATGTGAAGACGTAACTCCGTTGGACTAGCTAAATGGGTCGTCAATCGGCTAGTTTGACTTTCAATCGAATGATAAAGTTAAGGAGACACCACAAACTGTCATAAATCGTATGTTCCGAAGTCGCCAACCGAAATTAGCAATGCTCATCGACATCGGCAAACGCACAAGACACATCGCGATTTTCGTAAAATCTGAATGAAATATAAAAAGCATCAACCAAAATCACCGATCCCGGGTCATTATAAACTCAGAACCCCTCGACTCAGACGCCCGGCACACCCAGCTCTCTCACCCTTGTCGCTCTTGACCTCCACGGCTAGCGGTGCCGGCGCAGACCGTGTGGCATCCACAGTGAAGGTAAGGGGCACGTTGGCGCGGCAGTGTTCCGGCTCTACGCCCGGCCCGTAGGCGACAACGTTATCGGCGTCCACCTCACAGTCCACCGGAACCTGTGGAGGAAGGGGATGGGGTGGTAACGTCTATCTCACAGTCCACAGGAACCTGTGGAGGAAGAGGATGGGGTGGTAACGTCTATCTCACAGTCCACAGGAACCTGTGGGAGGTGGAAGTGGAGAGGTGGAGCGGTAAATGAGGGGCCAGGTCACAGGTGGTGCTGATAATGGTGAAGTTCAAGAGCCTCCTACACCTTTCTGCGATTCATTGGCTGCTGCTTGAATGGATTTAAGATAAAAAAGACGCTGGAAAGTAAACATTCGATCAATCCGAATGTGATTCAAAATAACGATGAAAAAGACAAAATCTACTAAAAAAGTGTCGTGCGAAGTAAATTGCGTAGGTCAAAAGTAAAACACCTAGCTCCACTTAGCAATCACCACAATCTACCTCGCCTCGCCTGACCTACCCTAGACTCTCCTACCCCCCTCCACCTTTTCCTCGAGTCCCATACCTTGAACGGGGATCCGGGGATGTGCTGGTCGGCGTATCGCACATTGACGTCGTACTCTCCGGGCTCGGTGGGCACGTACTCGACCGTGCATGAGCCGTCCTTGTTGTCCACACAGGACATCTTGGCCTCGGAGGGGCCCTCGATGGCCAGACCCAGACCGCCGGTGCCAGCTCCTGGGAGGAGAGATTTTACAGGAGGGTGAGCGGAAGGCACACGTCAAGTAGCGGAAGGAAAGCGTTGGATGGAAACCCATTCACCTCTAATAAGTAATAGATGGGGCGTTAAGTCATAATTGCATGAACAGAAATTCCGTCACCTAATTAAGCTGAACCAGAACTGTAAATATATTCTCAACACCACTGTCTGAAAATAATACTAGCATGGCAGCGTCAACACGAGCACATTTCAGACCCCATTACCAGGATGCAACGCTTCACAACTTCACTCCGAATCCATTGCACATACCACTAGGACGAAATCACTCCTCCCTCAACCAACTGACCTCGGGTGTTGATTTTGAACGTGTTGGACTTGTTGACGATGCCCCTTTTGAGGCCCGGTCCGTCGGCAGTGACCTTCCTCGGGTCACAGCCGGGCTTGGCATTGACGGTGAACGGCGCGCCGGGCACCGGAGCGCCGTCATACGCTAGGTCGATCTTGTGGGGACCTGAGGAGAAGGAAAACGGTCATTACTAACCATAGCTTTGGCACTTTAAGTTTATACCGTCAGTCACTAAACAATGAAAAACAGCGTGATAGGTCTCCTGAGTCGGACGGTGGACACCTGAGCAGCATCCCACAAAACAGTCCTCTACGAGCTAATGCGTGCGTTGCTCCCATCAAGAGGATGCACGCTGACAGCTCTTTACAGCAACTCATTCCCGTATAGCGTCTCCCTGGCTCTCCTCTCCTTGCCAAAGTGTTCTTTCCTCCCACCCACCGCTCTAACCTCCCGTTTCTCTCACCCGGCTCGGTGGGTGTATACGTGGCCTTGAAGGTACCGTCTCCGACCGGCTCCACGTGCGAGGGGCACGGCGCGCCCGACGGGCCGGTCACGGGACAGGTCACCTTTCCGTCCTTGGAGCCGGGCACGGCGCGCGCGTCCACCACCATGTCGGTGGGAGAGTTCAGGAACGCCGCTGTGGAGAGAAAGGAGAAGGAGAAGAGTGGTCAGCTGGCCGGCTAATGGGAGGCATAAATGACGTTGCTTTGAGATGAGACAAACGACTGGAAACACTGGTCGCAGCCTCTTGTTGATATTATTCAAAATGACAGATGAACGAAAACTAAGATCATTGATCAATAACAATATGACGAGCCGCCACAACATTTACCTGTGATTGCAATTTAGATGTCTCAGACAAATAAAACAACCGAAATCACAACAAATGATGAAAGTTCTTGCCTAGCATTCACCCCCAACACACAAAAATCACCGACATTCATGCATCACCTCCCCTTTCCCCCCTCACTCACTCGGCTCAACACCATCCACCCTAATCTTGGACGTATCCACGCTGGGTTTGGCCTCGATGTTGACGGGGCTCTGGGGGATCGCGCGGCCTCCGTACGTCACATTCAGGGTGTACGGGCCGGGTCGGGGGTACACGTAGTCGGCAGTCATGGTGCCGTCACCGTTGTCAGTCAGCTGTACGGGCACCTCTTTGCCGGTCTTGTTGTCCTTGAGGCCGATGCGCAGCTCGGCTGGGGGTGGGAGGGGCAGGGTCAGCCGGAATTGTAGCTTTGTGTCTGATGTGTGATGCCATGATGATACTCAATAGGCAGAGACGATGATAATCCGTAATGAAATTCAGCTAGTGATGTTGTTTGTTCGAGCATTAGCGTACTGTTTACGAAAATGCAAAAAAAAAAAAGAATGCATGCCAGTGAGTACCATAAAAGCTGATGAACCACAATAACGATCTTAAAAATGCAGACCACGCATGGTTTTCTCAACGAGACCCTACCCCCAGAATCGAAGGACTCGACGCGACCGACATCCACTTCAACGCAACACAAGGCAACCACCGATATATTCAAATGCGAAGACTTTAAGGAACGTCCAGCAAGCCTGTTAGTTACCCACCAGGTCCAGCGCCTCTCGCGTCCACGTTGAAGTGGGTGGGCACCTGAGCCCGCACACCCGGCTCCAGACCCGGGCCGAACACCTGAACCTTGGAGGCGTCCACTGGAGCCGTCACGTCCACTCGGAACGGAGAGTTAGGCACCGCCACGCCGCCAAAGTTCACCTGAGAGATGGGAGGGGATGTCATGGTTTGGTAGGGGTGTGAAGTGGAAGACGTGAGGCGGCCACAGTTCCGGTTAGCCGGGATGGTAGACATAAAGGGATAGTAGAATAACCGAGTCTAAGTTCAGTAGATTGGGTAGGTACCTTATTTTATCACACAGAAGTGGTAAATACGATTCTAACCCTGCACATCTTCAACCTACTTATGAATAACTCTCACCACTATCACAGACGCGAGTCAAATGTACACATCTTTACATACACAATACAACCAATAACAAAATTCGTTCAAACGGATCAATCCCACTTCCTCCGCACGGAAACACTACAGCGGACGGAATACGCACCATGACGGTGTGTTTTCCGCTGGTGGAGATTGTGTACTCGACGTGGAACACACCCGGGGACTTCTCAGTGATCTTCATCGGCACTTCGCGGAGATCCTCGTCCAGAAGCTGTAACAAGGAGTGAGTTCAGAAAAGCATAGATAGTAGAAACGTGTGTTCAGATCATTTATCATTACGACGAAGTGTGTTCAGAACAGTGAACACACACCTTATGTCCTTCACATGTACACCCATATTTAGAGCGATAAATGCAGCAGGTGCCCCGGTCTTCAACTCACCGAGATATCGAGCGGCGCGCTGCCGGCCGCCGTCGTGTCCACGGTGAAGTGGGTGGGCTTGTTGACGCTCACGCCGTCCTTCTGTACTCCCGGACCGAACACTCGCACCTGCCGACAACGGCGAGAACGAAAACATAGTGAAGGAGCTGTGGGAGCTGAGCACTGAGCAGAGATAAGTTGAACAAAGGAGATGGCGCTTCGCATTGCCATGTCGTTCGACAAGCCCCTAGTCTAGTCACGTATCTAAGAACCTTCCGCCTCCATAGCGTGCTTCAACTTGTAAAACTGATCACTGATTAATACATATTGTTTTTAGTCTAAATTGGGTTACTTTTAACAACAATAGACAGAGGAAAAGTTAATATTTCAAGAAGTCCCAAAAAACGAACACTTCCTTTACGATATTGACCTCTGCTAGCAGTCACAGCACAAATGCAAAACTAAAAACCTTCTATTTAAAAAAAAAACTTCTATTTAATAAGTCTCTCAGTCCGTGACCCTTACGTTTGCAATCAATCTCCCGTCAAATCGCTCACCTTGCTGGCATCATAGTCGGTCTTGGGGATAACCTGCGCCATCCATGGCGACTGGGGAATATCCTCTCCCTCACAGAGCACATGCACGGCATACTCTCCGGGCGCCGTCGGAAGGTAGGTCACATCTGCCGAGCCGTCACCGTTATCATGACACTGGATCTGCGCCTGGGAGGGGCCCTCGACGCTGAAACCCAGCGCGCCCGTCTCGCCGTTGGTTTCGACGGTGAAGGCGGCCGGTGATCCGACCACGCCGCCCTTCAGTCCGGGGCCGTAGCAGCGGATACGCGACTCCTGAAACGGGGGGGGGGGGTCGGGTTAGATGAGAAAAATATGGGAAGAAAACGGAATGAGTGAGCCTGAGCAGTGAATAACTTCTATTTAGAGTGAGCATTAAAAGCATAATTGTGTTGAGCTTACATGTGACAGACGTAATAATGGCAGAGTCAGTGAAGATACGAGATAATTTATATGTTATAATTACATATTACTTTACGGCTAGTGGCAATTCCAGCCCTACCTATTGTTCCAAATACAGAAGCGTTAATAAGAACGCCCCATATATAACGCAGCTCCATGGCAGTCGCGACCATCTATAAACCAGACGCATTGTTCTCACGTGATAATGTACACGCAATATGACGATCAGACAGGCAATGACCAACACGCTATCTGCCATTGATATCGACAACAAGGAAGCTAATCTAGTTCCAGGCGGCTGTAGGCTAGCAAGAATGCCATTCTGGAAGAAAAATACAATCCTGGAAATGTTCCTTCAAGAGACATAAAAAACAGAGCCATAAAACGGAAGCATTATGAAAATTATTTGTTGGGCCTGACCAACGAACTAAGCATTAGAACAGACGGCATAAAACCGTCAACGTCCAAGAAAACATCCCTGAGTCCACTCACCCCCTTCGGTCCGACGTTAACCTCGAACGGTGAGCGAGGGATCTCGTGTCCGCTGTAAGTGATCATGACGATGTAGCGGCCCTCGCGCTTGGGGTAGTAGGCGCCCTCGTAGACAAAGTCGCTGACTTTCCGCAGCTCAGCCGGCTCGTCGGCACCGCCTGAAGTCAGAGGTCACAGGTGAGGTCGGGTGAGAGGTCACAGGTTAGGTCAGATAATATAAAAGGTGGGAGGGAAGTCTGGAAAGCCAGGTGGAATATCAGGGCGAGAGGTTGCACCTGGGAGGTTGGAAAGCATGATTTGAATGAGCAGGGTTGATGAAAAGGAGAAGCAGAAATAACAATAACAAACACAGCAGCTGCTGCAGCAGAGTTGGTCCCTTGAATATTTTATATGGTTGTCGGATTCGTTGAAAGTAGCATCGCCGGCCATTTTATGCAAACAGGTACCAAGAAAGCACAATCAACAACTACGACCTGAAGAGCTGTCGTGAATGCACTACAGCACGATTTTTTTCTCACGGTCGAGTTCACAGCACAATTACAATAATTACGGACTACTGCGGTTTATCATTTTGCCATGCAAATCCGCTCATCTCGAGGGTATTTGATTATCATAATCACAACATCTAAGTGCGGTTACCACATAAATGCCATACTTCTCTTCCCCGTTACAATTCTCACGCTCATCTTAGGTCATTCAAGGTCATCCAGGCTTTCTCATGATCTCCCCTTTCTACAAAGACGAGCAGCTCCGGACTGACCTGGGCCGATGATGCGCACTTTGGGCACGCCCTCTCCGGCGCCCTCCGTCCACAGTTTGAAGTCGGCAATCTCACCCACGCGCACGCCCTTGTTTTGGAGGCCGCGACCCGTGGCCTTGACCCGGCGCGGGTCGCAAGCTGAGGAGCAACCAATCAGAAGCAGTGTTACAATTCAAGCAGAACACGACAAAATTGTTCACGCAGAAAAGAAGAAAGCAATCAGTGCATAAAAAATAAAATATGAAAAATATGAAAAATATGAAATGCTTCAATGACGTTCTCATGGACAGCTATCTCCGTAACTCTACATATATTCCTAATGTCTTGGGGAAGTCTATGAGCATAAACAATAATGTCTGATTCACATAACGACTCCAATCCTCACCTGGGCTGACTTTGACGCCGAAGGGGCTCTTGGGGATCGGCTTGGTGGCGAAGTAGATGTTGATGGAGTACATGCCGACCTGGTCGGCCAGGTACTCGCAGCGCCACTGACCCTGCTTCACCTCCTTCAGCTTCAGCATGGCCGGGTTCTGCTTGCCCTTGGGGTCCAGGATGACGACCTCCGGTGTGCCCTTGCCGGCGTCTGTGATCACAGGCGGACAGAGGTCAGCGTCAGGCTTGGTGTCAAGGACAGCTCGACAAGCAAACTCCGGGTTGAACTCTGGAAATACCTGCATAACCGACAGTTATCGCTAGTGTGCCCTTCCGACTTTCCAGGCTTGGCTGGGCTGATGGTGCCCGCCCGTGCTTTTGATGCACCCGAAACGTGCAAGCTTCCAGACTTGGTGCCAGGAAGCGATAGATGATTCACTTTCTGCAGCATTTTTAGACGCTTCGCAAACAAAAACGGCGAATAAGTTATTTCACGGGTCCGCTGGCGAATTCACTGGCTTATGCAATCAGTAGCAAAACCACAGCTAAATCACGGCCCCCAAAGCGCTTAGCTTATAACACGAAGGGCTGCAAATCGCGCACCGTTGCATTCCGAATGACACAGAGCTAGTGTTGACGTCTGGCGCGTGCCCCAGTCGGCATACCGCGACGGCAGCGGCGCCCCGTATTTAGCGTAACTGGACTGGCAGCCTATCTCAGATTTCCTGGATAAACGCTGCAGCGCTCAAAGCTCACGGACCGGTTTCAAGATTCAAACGAGAGATGTCACATGCGATGCCGCCAGCTTTTTGCGCTGACCGTTGGTATCCGAAAGCATGACAAACCGATGGCTTGACTCATGAATAGAAATATATTTGCTTACCGCTACGTGTTAGGTTACAGGTAAAAAGGAATACAAGCCGGTATATCTAAACAGCAGAGCAAAACAATTGCAGGTCAGATAATACTATGAGTTGTATACCAAGTTCCACGAAAAGCCGGAAGCTTGCATCCTGGATTCCCTGGCTCGCATGAGGTTACGACAAAACTATTTGACTATTTAAATAGTTACATTTTTGACATTTCCATCGACCAACGCCCTTTAAAAACACCACATTATCCTCACACTTGAGCCACTGTTACCCTAAGTTCTCACCATGTGTGAAGATGTCGAAGTAGGTGGGCTTGCTGACGACGACGCCGACCGGCTCCAGGCCGGGCCCAGAGGCAGTCACCTTGTTCGGGTCTCCGGCGTACCCCTCCACTTGAACCGAGAACGGCGACTTGGGGATCTCATTGCCGATGAACTTGACGATTACGCGGTGCTGGCCCTCCGAGGTCGGAGTGTACGAGCAGCTGTACGTCAGGTTACGGTCGTTGTTGAACTTAGCCTCGATCTGTGGGAAAAAGAGGGATATCAGGTAAATCAAAAGCAGTTCGTTACCAGTAGTTACTGTAATTGACGTCGTTATGTTGCATGTGATGCTGTGAAGAGCGTGCTATGCTAGTATGAAGTGCATATCATAATATTTGTGATACGTTGTTTCACGTTATTGTCCCATTTTAGATTTTCACTTTCTTCCCTGCAATATGTCTGCTGCAACCACCTACCAAAGCAAACATCTAAGCCCTAAGCCTCATGATATAATTAACTCTACTGAAGACCATCCCTCCAGAAACCCCCTCCCCCACCCCTCCCCACTGGCGCCCAGACGGGTGAAACGTCCCCGCCGCCGGCGGCACCTCTCTGCGGGTCTGCAGCAAACCGCCACAGGGTTAGCTCAAAGCGCCAGGTGCCGGTTACGAACGCCAGCTGTCGGCGCGAGGGCCAGAACGACGAAACCACCAAATGGGCAGTCAAGGCATTAAACTAGATTGAAAACTCAATGTTACTTTAAATTTTCTCTTTTTCTTCACTCCTTCACGTTACGTAGCCGCCCTTTTTAGTTCCTCGACTAGCCAGCGAGAGAATCTTATCATCAGCGACCGCACGTTCAGATCACGATTTGGGACGGCGCCCGGCCACCACGGACGACATACGGTCGTGACGGAGATGACGATCGTACTGAGGGCGGAGGACGCCAGCCTGCAGCCGACGATAACACTGCCGACTGCTGAGTCAGGCCACGGTCTGAGGCTAATGGGTTCATGGCATCGTGATTCGCTTTATGTGAGGTTTGATTGGTATCAAGGTTGGGAAAGGCCCGTGAATCGTCAACTGCTTGAATGACAGCTACACATTAAGCAGCTTTTGTTTACACTCATCGAAGGTCTAAGCTAAATGAAAATGTCAATTCAGAGTTGAATGATGATTATTCAGCCAAACCGCACTTATTTTAAAGGTATTGCCGTCTTACCTCTGCTTTGAAGCAGAGGTAAGACGGCAAAATGTTGACGATATAACTGACCCTCACGAGTGGCGAAGCAACATGACCTCTCGAGCGAAGGACCTCAGCGAGATAATTCGCAAATGGACCCCAGCGAGCTCACGTTCGGAGCTCTGGCTTTCCCTTCCAATCAACCAAGCCCTCGGGCCGTCAGCAACATCCCGCCGCTAGCAACAGATGTCGCCACCACTCACCACCCTCCCCTCCCCCTCCCCACTCGTCAAACGCGGTACATGACCCCTCCCACCCCCACCTCAGACAGCGTCGCTTGACAGGCATAGCACGTGCATTGGTGGCCGGTGGAGGGGGAGGGGAGGGGCTGCACTCGGCAGGTGGGGTGGGACGGGAAAGCGTTCACGTGAACCGGGCTTTACACTGGGCTTACTGCGAAGAACAGGTCAAGAAAGCAAGACCGAAGCAGTTGAAACGATTACGACTATTGGAGGTGTGTTGTGTAATAATCGGAACCGATAGGACAGAATCAGGAGGGTTTCGGTCCGGAACAGAATGTCACCACGGCACTCCCACGAAAGTTCCACGAAGTTCGAGGCGCGGAGCTAGGCGAAAAGAGGGGAGAAGGTGTGGTCAGTGGTGGATGAGCTTGTGGTATTGAAGTGACTAGATTCAGTGTAATTTTCCATGCAGAGTCGATGTATTGTAACGGTGATGTGGTTTCGGATTGATCAGGCCAAGTATCACTCAGCGGAAACAACAAATTCAGCTACTGAGTCGGAAACGGTCAGATTCAAACACGGTAGACGAAAAATAAGGCAAGGAATCCCAATTACAGCACCAGAAATAAGTAGCAGATTTATCCACGATCTGAATAAAACACGAAGGTCACGCAAAGCCAGAGCTCTCATTGTTGTCACGCGAGCGCCTTTCGTATATCTAAACTAAAATAGCGGACCATACAAAAATACTGAATGCTGTGAATTCAGGGGGATTCTATTTCTGACCCACTCCAGTCAAGCACCGAAACAATTATATGTCAGAAAGACCACTGTATGCCGAGGTCTACATATGTAATATGTATGTTAGCATGATCGTTTAAAAAAGAAAACGTAGCAAAGGTACTCTTCCTTTACTAAGTTTCCCTTACCCTCCTTTCTTCTACTATTTCCTTCCTAACCTACACACTCCCTCCCTCGCTCTCTCCATCTACTATATCTCTCATCCTCTCATCCCACCGTGCCACTCACCGGCTCCTTCTGACCGTTGGGTCGGATCAGGAAGCACTCGACCTTGCCCTGACCGGCCGAGAACGTCTCCACGGTGAAGAAGGTGGGTGCTCCGACCACCGGGCCCGTGGGCTCCACGCCCGGGCCGTAGCAGCGAACCCTGAGGGCAGGTCACGGGGTCAGGGGTCAGGTCACGGGGGTCGGGAGTCACTTAATCAAGGGATCAGGGGCTCAGACAACAGATCAAACCATGAAGTCTTGGAGCATGCTGAGGCCACTGACAACTGCTGACAACTGGGGCTGTCGACAACGTGGGCTGCTGAGCAAGTTCTTTGGCATGAAAATATCGATGGAAATTATGAAAATTGATGACATATGAAGATGTATCTGGCGGAGGGTAGTTATTTTGAACATTTAGCCTGTCTACCGTAGAAGATGTTTATAATAACCAGTAACGGTTCTGTCGTCTGTATGGTTAGCGGTTGTGTCCCCAGGCGACTGGAGACCGCTGACCCGGCACCATTCAAGGAAATCATCACAGACGAGAGACTAAAGTCGGACCACATACATACACCAAAGTCTCCATGGTTTACGTTATAATTAACTGAATGACAGACTTTCACTGGGCACTGGAATAAAGTGAAGATGGCTTTCATCCCATCTACCTCAAAGTAGACGGTATCGACTCACAATTCAAATGGATTAAAAGTAACGGGCTTGAGAGAAAAAGGCGCGGGTTTCTTAATTAAGTCCCAACGTAGTTTCTGACGTAGCTGAGATTGAAGACAAACGCCTAACGTCTATCAGGGACGGTTAGTAACACGGCAAAGTACAGCAAAAATGCCGGTTACATGAATTAGATCTCAGCTCGAACTGCAGAGATTTTACAACACCCCGACTCATATCGAATGTCGATCTGCGAGGTTACTGAGTGCGTCTGCGACAAGTCAGTCTTTTCTCCAGCCGGTTACGTCCTCTGAGCATGCAGTTACGGCAAGCCGACACCAGAGACGGTCCTATGCTATGCCATTATAGTCTGCAAGCTGCAATTTTGGCAGGGTGGACATTAGACACCGGACGGCAGCGACGGTTCCGGCGACGTCGCTGGCAGTTGCGGTCGTCACCCCTCTGCAACATTCCACTGACCCCGCTACGCTCGGTCCTGCAACGGTCAACGCCGGAATATTTGTCGTCTTTACGGATGGCGTTTATTGCTCAAACGGTGCGACGCTTTTGATAAGGGATGCACCAGACGTGCAAGTTGTTGCAAAGGAGACACCGATGGTGTGTGATGATATATGTAGATGATGCTTAGATAATCTACAACCGCCATCGCTCCACATCTTAACTTATCAAGCCATCGAGCTTCCGAGCTCAGCCCACAGCCCATCGTTTATCGTTCATCATCGCAGCACATCGCCCAATGCATATCGTACAAATATATCCTTCATCGTCCACTGAGACTGAGCTACCGCTACTTTCCCACCGGACGCAAGTCCTGTCTACCCACCAAAACCACAACGAACCTTTGAATCACCACCCACCGTCTATCAACCCACCAATCCACTGTGCGCTTGCATACCACCCACCGTCCCATCGTCCAACGCCAATCGTTCATCGCCCACCTCCTACCGCCTACAGAACTATTGCCCGCCGCCAGTACCGCCTGCCGACCCATCGTCCGTCGCGTACCGCCAGTCGCCTGCCGATACAGCACATCCCCTCCCCTCCCGGGCGGCTGGAATTTTTCCGTGACCTTCCACCGCTCCAGGATCCGACCGCCACCAACGGCCACCCAACAGATGACGTCACCATATGAACGAACACTGATGACGTCATCCGTCTGAACGAACACCGATGACGTCATTCACCAGCTGGATTAATTGTGGCGCGCAAACTCCGGCCTGGCAACGACTGCCAGACGGGCACGCCTGAATGACATGAGATACGAGTCTCGTTTGGATTAACCAGTCTCACCCCGCGAAATATAAACGGTGTAGTATGGCGTCGACTCAAACGCCGCTTAATTCTGCCAGACGATGAAGTTAGGGGACAGAACACAGCCTATGAGTCAGGTCTTTGTGGTCGGACGTCACCTTTGGCCACCTGCCACCCCTCCATATCCCTCGCCCCTGAGGTCTTTGGTCCACAGCACGCCCTCGCCGCCCTCTGGCAGCTTCGTGAGGTGTTTGTCTCGCTCCGACGCTCTGACGAGCCAGCACGTCTGGTTGGGAGTTTTGGTCGTGCTTCTGGCGTGCTCTGGCCGTGCTTGACCGTGCTCAGTGTTTTGGACGTGCTCTGGATGTATTCAGACGGCCGTGCTCGTCCTTGTTTGCCACTTGGTCAGGCGTGTCTACACTCCAGACAGCCAAGCAAGGACAGCGGCCAGCGGTCAGCTCATCGTGGCTGTGCTGAGCGGACGGGTCTGGACAACCGAGGGGATGGGTGGAGAGGGGGTACTCCGTGCCGCTGGCAGACCACGGACCCCCCTCCCCCATCCCCACCCCCACCCCACACAGCACCACCCTCCAGGGCCGCGCGGCTTCACTGTTTGGCGCTCACTGCTCGGCCAAAACGACGCTGCCAGAACGGAAGACGCAGCGGCCAGCGCAGATATCAAAGGCAGGCGGCGGAAGAGACATGGTCGGAAGGAAACTATGCGACCTCAAAACGGAGATATGGTGGAGTAAGAAGTCATTCATGCCATTTCAACGATGTTTTCTGAAACTCAGCACGACAACGAAAAATATGTGTTATATTATTATCACTACGCTGTAAGTATAATAAGTTGGTTAATAAAATCATAAACTAGCTAGTGTTTATGTCAATACAACTCTCACCACTTCACTCGGACCAAACTAGTTCAAACTCTCAAACGGTTTAGTTGAGCACCGCACACAAAGGGAACCTGGGCGTTAGTTGGGTAACGACTTAGTCTACTGACACACAGACAGACAAACACACTGTTGTACCTGGCACCGATGGCAGATTGACTGAAACAAATCGACACCATAATGTCAGATGGCCAGTCGGGGGAGAGCTGTACGGTCAACAATTACAGGCTCGTTTACAGAATCATGGAGGTAGTTTGGGTCCATTTCATGTGAGTGCAGCCAGTAATTTATCGGATCGATTTTTATCGTTTGTAACACTTCCATAGCAGGCTGTCAAAGAATACTATGACATTACTAGACCCTTAAACGGAAATAATTGTCATATTTCACAAAAACATCTACTATCAGACACCAGTTGCCCATGAACTCAAGCAAAGAAAGTTTTTTTGCGCAGACAAAATGGACTGAATGGAATTGAAAATTGCCAAACATTTAGCGGGTTCACCAGACTAGTTGATTAATTTGTAAAAATCGAAACACCAATTAGCCCACCGAATGAGCCACAACCCAAACTACCTTCTCTTTTACCATACCCCAACACCAGCGCACCACACCACCCACCCGGTATGCCCAGCAGACCGGCACGGCACGGCGGGCCGCGTCCCGTGACCGTCACGCTCCAGTGGTCAGGTCACGCACACAAGGAAATTTAGCGGCCAATGGCCCGCTGTCCACTCGGCGCAGTGGACTCAATGGACTAAATAGAGCCCCGTCGGTGGCACGGGTCACGGACCATAGGTCACAGCTGGCCGGAAGTCGAAGTGAAAACGGCTTTACGGAGTATAGCCTAGAGGTCCAAGTAACATACGTGATAGTTCAAGCGATGCATGAGGTGAATAATTGAGTTACATCAGCTGGCCTGAAATATCAAGCATCAGTACTACTCGACAAATCGGCTTGCCTGCCGTATATCCATGCATCCACCCTGTGATTCCCGGCCTACGTCGGTACGTCCCAGGGCCTCGTCTAAGGAATTTTCACTGGGGGGGCCAGAGACTGAAGGAGCCAAATCTAGGGTACCCCCAAATCCTGCTTTCTCACCGGATTTAGACCACTTATTTTTTCATCACAGCCCTGACACCATGAATATTTTTTTTTTGAAAACTAAAAAAAAATAGTAGGCCATCCGACCCATGCTTGTATACCTATTAGTTTATAGCCTCCTTACATTGCCCCATCAGGCAATAATAATCACACTTCTCGTTGTTGAGCGTGTGATTGAGTGGCAGTGCCTTGTCTAAGGAATTTGCATGCCGAGCCTTATGTCGAGGGCCCACACGCATATACTCGTATATTGTTTTGCGAACCACATCGGTTTCAGATGGGCCCCTCTGAGCGCTCGATGCCGATCTCTGAGGGCTAATGCCAACGTCTGGACCTATATGTACTTCGGCCTCTATGGTAGCCCACACTGGTTTTATATGATCTATACCAGGCTTTAACCCTCGCCGGCACAGGGGGGGGGGGGTTGATGCAACCCCCCTAAGGTTTTTCGCGAATAACTCGCGTAAAAAGCGGCCGATCGCGACGAAACTTTCAGTACCCTCGCATTGATCAATTTTACACCTACCCTGAAAATTTCATGACCCTGACCCCAATGACCTTTGACCTGTGACCTCTTTTCTGTGACCATGTTTGGCCGAAATCGCGGTTCGGCTCATGTCGGCTCGCATTAGCCGCGCGTTTGCAAGCTTTTCGTGGTTTCAAACGTTCAAACATGTGATTTGATGTTGCTCCCATGCAGTAGGGTGGGTGTCAAGGTCACCTGAAGGTCAGGTCAGGTCATTGACCTTTGGTGACCTCGGGTGACCTCGGTTCACTTTTTCGAGTTTTACATGTTTCTAGGCTAGTTTTTGGAGCTGAATTCGAATTTAGCAACCATTTGAACATTTACGAAGTAGTTTTGGTGCCTTCGTAACATGTTACGAAGCTATCCGAGGCGGTTGCCACGTATTACGAATACCCGTCACAACCCCTACCGGTTGACCTGACCTGACCTGACCTGGTCTAAATGCTTAAAGACATCATCTCTGATCAAAACTAACACGATATTCGTGATCAGCACCCCGGAAAACCACATGGCAGCCACACTTTACGACTTTCTAACAGGTCCCGATTTTCCCGGTTTTCGGGTCATTGACCTGACCTGGAAGGTCACCCGATGACCTAGGACCTTAAAATTGGGTATCATCGGCTTCCTCTCGTGACGGGCAACACGCTCGTTTTTTCCGCGAAGCTCTAGCTCAATCAGGGGCCAAACGCGAGGGGGAGGGTCGTACCAACCCCCCCTTGTGCCGTCGAAGGACTCAAAATGGCCTGTGCCGGCGAGGGTTAATGGTCAATCTGAGTGGAGACCGTATTTTCCCACTAGGGCCCCCTCAGACCAGATGCCTGTGTATCAACTTGGAGACTGATGGCTTCTCAGGTGGATTCTCCGTAATCGCCGTGGATCTTCAACACAACCTTAAGGTCGTCAGAGGCTATAAACTAAACAAAAATGAAGATTACCCCGTGTAGTAGTGCTTTGAGGCCCGTTGGGACCCTAAGTGGCTGGCATTTGCCCCCCCCCAGGACTCCATGCCGACTTCTGTAGATAATCCAGCTGTCAGAGTTCCCGTCCCCATAGACAGACCACCAATCTGGCATCTGCGCCTGCGTACGACCACCCAGAATGGGAGCCTGCTTCATTACGATTAGGAGCTACTCTAGCCGCACACCGGTGACCGTCCAGCCAGAAGTTGGACTCCGCATAGCGAAGACGACGATAGGCAAAAACAAGAGATTGACGCCTCGAGGACAGAAACACACCTTTCCGTGCTTCTATCCTCAGGATACAGAAATCCTTCTCCTCCACGCCGCAACCCCCCTCCGGGCTGGACAGGCAACTTTATCTCATGCGGGCTGCTCCCTTGGAGCGGCACCGCTGCTCCCGAGGGGGCGCACCCCGTAGCCGGGTGCAGTGAGTGCCTTGGGGCTGGGTGGCCTGTCCCCTGGACGGGCTCAGCCCCGGCGACTCACTAGGGTGCCTGCCCAGACCAATGTCTCCCCCTAATTCCTATCATCCTTCCGGCTCTGAAATGGTCTAATTGGACCGAAAGGGCCTACCGTAAGGTGGGGCTATTTGAGACAGTGGGGCTATTTGAGACAGTATTTAAAATTGCTATAAAATAAAAACCACTTAAAATTTATGGTTAATTATTTGCTCAGGCGATATACTGCTCGATTCCACACCTCTCTGAGCAAAAATATCACACAAAAATCAAACGATCTTCATTTTATAGCGATTTTAAATGCTGTCTCAAATAGCCCCACTGTCTCAAATAGCCCCACTTTACGGTAACCCAACAAAACAAAAACAAAACAGGACAGAAACAATTCAGATTGATACCTAAAGGAGAAATTGTTGCCGGTAGAGCCTTGGACTCCGCGTGGTGAGGGCACGCGTCTCGGTTATAACAGTCCGGGTTCGAAGCGCGACATCGCTCGATCTTTATGAGCCTCCTGGCGAGTACATGGTTACGGTTGGTGGCAGGCCATAGCCATTCGAAGTCAGTGAGGGGACCGGCCGTGTGCGGCTATGTGCATACGTTAAACTTTGGGCTCTAAATTCTGCCATAGATCACGAATTGCGCGATCGGAGGGTAGAGGGCAGGGCCAACGCAAAGCTCTGCTTAGCGGGGGCTCTGTACTTGTGAATCCGCTTCCATTCAAAAGGTTCGGACTAAATTTATGAAAAAAGAATATCCGGGACACGGAGTTGGGCGCCTGAAAAGACGAAAAGTAACGCATTGCTGAGCGAAAAAAATGGTTCAGGTAAACAAAATAAACACATAACAGCCCTAGGTAATGAGGTATTTCAATGTGCTCACATTGCATCGTTTCATTTACGCATTTGTTGTTATGTGCACTGACGCCTCGAAATAAAAATTCGTTTGCCTTTTGGCTATTGCCGGCCCCCCCAGTAGTGACTTTTTGCCCTGACTGGGGGGGCCAGGTCGATGACTGCGGGGGTTTGGCCCCCCCAGTTAACATGTTAGACGAGGCCTTGGTACGTCCCCAATAAAGGTCTGTTCACACAGTACCGACATCGGCCGTCCATCTCCACACAGCCTGGAATGTCGGACGGCCGCTTCCAGCGCCGAATGACCAGCGAAACAGAGCAGCTAATCGGCCATGCCGGGCGCGTGTGAACCGGCCTTAACGGCCTGTCAACAACCTCTAGCCGAGCGACTCGGCCACTTTTCACCAGCTAAACAGCGGCGATTTATTTCCCAAACTAGCGCATGTCAGGTGAGAATCGCTCGACTCTCCAGTGAGAGAATGGATGTCATGGAAGGTCACTGGATGTTCATCGTCTCTCAACTCTGTCTCACCTGTTTGGGTTTGTCTTTGCGCGAAGCGGCGCGCCGGCCTTCAGCTTGGCGTTGGGGTACTGCGAGAGGTACGTCATCATGGACAGCTCGTCCACGTTCGGGTCAATCATGTCCTCCGGCTGGATCAGCTGTAAGACGGCGGAGACACCAGTGTCAGCTCGGGAGGCAGGGTTAGGTCTGGAAAAGACTGCTGATAACGTGGCGTCCAAATGTATTTATGCCGGTTGGTCTGGTCTGGCGATATTTTATTATGATGTATGACTGTCCAGAGGATCCTATAAGCATGTCGTCCATGGCGAAATGCGCAAAAACCAACGGAACTCGCTGTTATAAATCGTAATAAGCTGTGGTGGGTATTTTTCCGCCTCAGTATCTGACAGAAAGTGCGATGTAGACGAACAAAACGTAATGACGCGAATTCCCCGCTAGTTTGTGAGCCGGCGTAGCGTTCCACTAACTACAGGCGTAGCGTTCCACTAACTAGCCGCTCAGTGTACACAGAGCGGCTCTCCGCATCGGTTAGCGTTTCCCACCGTACCTGGGGCACGTTGAGCCAGTCGTCGGCCAGACCCATGGCCTCCGTGGCGTTCTTGAGGGCGTCCTCTGGCCTCCAGTCGGACCAGTCGGGACACAGGCCTGGGGAAAAGGGACAGGTCCCCGTCAGTTATACAGACAACACACACCAGGGAGACATATCGAGGGCGTCCTCTGGCCTCCAGTCGGACCAGTCAGGGCACAGACCTGGAGAAAAGGAAGGAGTGTCACCGTCAGTGCATGACAACACACACAGGGGCAGACACATGGGGAGGAAAAGGACAACCAACTTATCGGTACACATTAGTCATTACACAACTCATTAGTGGAAGCATCACAGCTAAATGGTACAACCCTTATAACTGGACCGAGGTGCAACAAACTTAGCTACCACGAGCAAAGCCATTTACGTACATACTAAGGTTACAGGCGCATCACAATCCAATACGCGAGAAATTCACAACTCATTTGTCCGTGTGTCTCTTTAAATTGCCCATTCCATACTCCTCCGGCGGTCCAGTCAATCACACGAAGCCACCACGGCCCAGACTTCCGTCTACCACGGCCCTTCCGGCATTAGCGGTGAAGTCCGTGGCCCGACCAGCGACGCATAGTCCACATTCCAGGTCAAATAGCTCCGTTCAAATACCGCCCCGAGGGGTGTCACAGATCACTTGTGCCGCGTCATGGCTCCAATGGCTCCGTATAAAAAGGGGCTGATTACCCGGACAGAGAAATAGGGGCTAAGTGGCACGTCAGTGGGGTTAATGAGAGTGGTGTGAGGCGGGGTGGTAGTAGATGAGAGGTCAATGGGAACGGAAATTGTCACAAAGCGGTCCGACATTGGAGGTTTTGATTGTTCCGAATGAATACCTTCGGTTGGAAGCATCAATGGGGACAAATTGCCTATTCGTAAAGGATTTTCGACTATTGAGTTATTCGCTCCATAAATAAAGACATTTAGCATTTGCCACATTCCATCAAAAGTGCAAACATAACATATAATTCACTTGCAGTTGAGCTATAATTACGGAACTCTTATCCGAGTAAAAAGTTTCCAACACGTCACCGCAGCGGTGCCCGCTCCTGGAATCGCTAAGTAGCCGCCGTCAAAGCTGGCAATCATCAGCACGACAGGCCGGACCAGACGGCGCCGGACCGAAGGATCAGGGGGGGGAGGGGTACACGGTTGGCACGAGCCTGTAGCACGCTCGCCCCCTACCCCGGGAGGTAACGGGCCACGGCCCTGATCACGACTGCTGAGCTAGCTTTCTCGTGGGTGAGGCTGGGGTGCACAAGAGTCAATGCTCACCGCTCCATGCACACATTTTTTCGCACTCTTCCCATCCAGGCGGGTGACCGACCGACGTTTTAGCAATCGCATGCACAGAGCAGTCAGTCACTGCCCAGACTCCCCAGACGGTCAGATAGATTCTTCATCACTACAAATTAGCCTATACCACCCTCAGTAGCAGACGCTGCCGCCTACCGGTGCAGTTTTGCAGGCTTATCTGACGCCGCGTGTAGCATATACGGGTGACTCAGTGACTAATGAAGTCGGGTCGCTTTAGAGCACGCCGTGGCGAGCACGGGGTGGGAAGTGACATGTGGCGTATGGCCGTCTGTATGATAAGCAGACTGCAATGTCAACACACAAGCGGGTGTTAAGCCCCGTCCGCAATACAGAAGGTGTCGAAGAGGTAATCGTTGGAACGAATATAGCCCGGTGTGGCAATAACCCACAAGACGAGAATACTTCTAGCTGGCTGAGTCAGAACTGAACGACAAACGCACATATTCGTAGATGCCCTGCAGCGCATTTACAAAGCGCCTAACAATAATATCGTTTTTCGAAGTATACAATACAAATAAACATAGCCTACACAAAGTCATTATTCAATAGCAAGAAATGGCAATTATATCAGCACAGTATCTACAGCTCCTCTCAAAAGCTTGGGCGACACGTCTCTTTCCACTCCCCACTGGCTAAGCCAGGCCGTGAGCCCTCCTTAGCCTGTGGCGGGCGGCGGCCTCGCAGCGACTAACTCACTCAAGTGCACCTAGATCAAGATCATCTAAGATCATCAATAGATACTCTCGTAAAGCGTGATCATCGATTGAGCCACCCAGGGAAACAGTGTTACGGAATCACTCTTACAACTGCGTAAGACGAGTCCCGTCGCCTGTCCGTACCCGTCGACCCGCGGCCAAAGCTGGTAGACGATGGTATCGCTCTGTGTCGTACATCCTACAATGTTCGATCAGGACCGCTACATTACCCTACCCGTAGCAATCAGATCAGTGGATCATATCCACGGACGAAAACCAGAAATGGGATTGGATATGGAGAACTGGGTATAGAACGACTTGACATTTACCGAAAGCGACTTATAAGAATAAGCTTTGAACTGGCAAAGGTCAAACAGATCGCATTTTCGAAAAATGGTAAGCCATAAGGCGACTTTTTACTGCAGTAGTTTACTTCTCTCATAAACGTCAGACATACTCGTCTCAGTGGGAGTAACGGATAACCTAGACGTAGCACATTACGAGAAACGGCATAACCGTCCCACCACAATCACCCAATTTAGACAATGGCTCCACATAGCTGATTACCCCAATGAGCCTCTTTGTCTTCATCAGCTTAAACGGACGGCGGAGGCACATAGGGAAGGGCGGCAGCTGGGGAGCGTTACCTCACCCTTCCCAACGAGACCAGTTTGTCAGGGGCTGGCCCTGTGCTGGCCCGGGAACTGGTGCACCTCGCTCCTGGCAATAGACACTGGACATAGGGAATGATATTCATGGATACCCGTCTGTACTCCGCCAGGCTCAGAGTGGATTTATTTGGCCCAACCCGCGTCCCAGGCACGACAAAGAGCTTCACTGACCTTTGCCGCGACATAACCTTGACCCCGACTGACCCGATAGCCCTCACATGACACTGAGCTTTACTGACCTGGCGCCCTTTATATGACCTTGACCCCTCACTGACCTGGCGCCACGCCGTCGACCAAGGCTCCGATGGCCTTGCCGTCACGCCAGTCGGAGGTGAAGTTGCGCACCGGCAGGTCCGGCATCTTGGAGCCGATCCAGTTCATCAGCCTGGCACAGTGACGTCATCGGTCAGATCAGGGGTGACGTCATAGAGGGTCACTGACGTCACACCGTAAGGCATTGTAGTGGCGGTGGCATACAGTCAAATGTGTTGGATCACGAGAGTCAAAAATACACTTTATAAATTAGTTTCACAGCAGCGAGTGGTAGAATTAGAGTAATGGCAGCGAGTGGCAGAAAAGACGACGGAAAACAACTCACAGACGATGATATAAACGGACTGAATAAACCAGACTGGAGAGTCGGCCAAACAATGACGTAGTGAATCGTGAGGCGGCAATTAAACTGAGGATGTTATGACAGCACGCATAATTTTCGGCGCCCACAGTGCGTTCTTTCTGCAGCTAGCTCAACACAATTCTGATGGCTAAGGGTCCAGCCACCGGCGCCGCGCATTGCATAATGCCGACAGTGCCGACTCTGAGCGAATTCAAATAAACAGATGTCGGGGAACGGCCGATTGTGCCGCATCAGGTCCTGGTGTGATTGGAAACAGATTCGCCAGTATTAGACGGCACACACACACAGGCTGAGGGTCGAATAAGTTCAGACTTCCAAGGTAATACAGTTCGAATGTTCTTAAACGTATTGGTCAATCCTGATTTTAAATCTACGTACAATAGAGAACAAATTGATAATTGTAATTCAAATCTGGTTTAATGACATCTACAGAAAACAGCAACGATCTGAATATCACATAAAGTGATTTTTACTTAATTGGTAAGAGAGAGCACCAATGTATCACTGTTGGGCAAGCACTATACGGTTTCCTTTAGAGTTCACCTCCCATCAAAAACCGCAGTCCAACCGCTCGCCTATCGCTCACCTCTGTTTGGGCGTGGGGCCCTTCTCTCCGGGCACGTTCTCGTCTCCTTCCCACATGGGCATGGAGATGCTGTAGTGCAGGATCAGTGTCCATATCAGACCCAGGATCAGCTTCAGGTGACAGTCCACGATGTGGGTAGCGTCTGGAACACGAAGAGACAACTCGAGGTTAGTGCTGATCATTCGACGTGGGTTGGTGAAGAAGGGAGTCCACCCAACTGCTTATTATCTGCGACGGAAGCCGCACCGAATCACCATCTGTTGCCACTCAGGTGGCGCTTTTGGCCACCGGGATAGCGCCTAATTATCTAATTATCGGCCAGTTATTAATATGAGCGCCATCATCACATGTGCTTCGTCCATGATGACTAATAAATCAAGGCATAAGGCCGAGAATGAGCCGAAAACACAACACCGAATACAACGAAACCTATGCAAAGGAAACTCAAGCGAGCATAGACAGTAGACACTGCCGAAGCATGAGCGGCTTCAATAAGCGTACACTTAGCAGTCTTTCCCAAGAGCTCAATTCGGCAGTTCATATCCGGCATGCATTCCGAGTCGCCATGTTGCGAATCAGGACACGTCGGTTTGAGAGCTCAAACATTCGCGTATCAGTGACCCGTTTCGTGCTCGCCCTATCCCCAAGCCGTCTGTGCTTTGTCCCGTGTCCCGTTCTCCGTCCTTTTCCGTTCCAATGTCGTGTCCCGTCCCACCCTGCTCCGCCATGTCCGGCCGTCGCCGCTTGTTAGGCGCGCCAAGCTAAAGAAGCACCGCTCGGTTGCGCATCAGTGGACGCATGCTCTATGGACAGACGGCCCACGAGCTGGGATTCCCGCGGCTGTCCCAGCCGTCGTACCGCTTGGGTGGAGTCGGAATCACCCGACAATTCACGGTGACCGCACCGCCTCACGATTCACGACAAAATCGTGGGACGAACTGTCAGGATGTGAGTGCAGACCTCGATCATACTAAAAGCTTGAATGAAGTCAGAGCTTCACAATGCCTCTGACGAGTGGCGCCGAACGTCACAAACCGACAGACCGCGACGTCCGAAACTTGGCCGCGTTTCTACGCATCCAGACCACGCCACCGTCACAGCACGGAGCTCTGACCAGTGAGGCTGACCGTGACCACTGGTCAGTGGAGCGGTCAGCGAACAGCGCCGGTCAGATTGGTCACCCCGGGAGCGGGCTGGCCCGGGGTGAGAATCCGGAGCGGCCCGCCCGGCCTCCCGCGGTGGGGCGGCTCCCGGTTCGAGAGTTTGGCATTTGATTAGCATACATTACCGAGGGCGGTGCGAGTGAGATCCGTGTGATGAAGCTGACACGGGTGGACAGGGTGATGCCGCATGACGGGAGTGGGGCGACGTCGTAGGAGCGATGCACCGAAACCGCGGAGTAGTGAGGTGATGTACCAAAAATTGTGTTATGATGACAGAAAACAGCTTTCCTGAATAACACTGTTTCCAAATGTCTGTGCTTTATATATAAATATATTATACACAATATATTATACACAATATATTGTGTCATTGGCCATTGCAGGGCCCATGAAACCAACGGCAAGCAAAGATCTGCATCATGCATGTGTAGACGGGTACGATCATTGCTAATGCCATGAGACGAGAAACAAAAATAGTGTGAGTGTGACTAATGGACCCGCGTAAAGGTGCGATACTTTGCACAAATGAGGCGGACGCGGAACTCTGCGGCAACTCTTTTCTTTTGGCACATTCTACCATCTTTATTCGTGAGACCGAGATCCAATTCTGATCAATGCTCACGTAGTGCTCATAAGCCGCCGAGCTTTCAAACGAGGAACCGTTACCTGCTGCACTGGGCTGTCATTCCATGAGTTGTCAATTTTACCATTGTCTCGAATGCACCTCATGTCCGACTGGTCGATCATTATCACCTCCCAATAACGGTTCCACACGATCAACAGGGCGGCCAGAGAATTGACGTTCGCACAGATAAAAGACGTGTTGAGCGAGGCAGCACCACGAGAAGCAGGGCATGAGTCTACTCTAGTCTAGTCTAGTCTAGTCTAGTCTAGTCTAGTCTAGTCTAGTCAAGTCTAGTCTAGTCTAGTCTAGTTTAGTCTAGCCCAGCAAAACCAGTAAAGCCCAAGCCTGGTCTAGCATAGGCAATACGGTGTGGAGCAGGGATGCGGAGCCGGAGTCGGAGCCGGAGCCGCCGGAGCCGGCATATTTTGCCCGGAGCCGGAGCCGGAGCCGGAGCCGTGAAACAATATAGCCCGGAGCCGGAGCCGGAGCCGGAGCCGTCAAAAAAGGGGGCGACTCCGGCTCCTTTTCTTAAGAGGAAACAATTATTTACCTAGTTCGGTTTGACAGTACAAGGCGTAAAACAATGTGGTATTCAAAAAAGCCTTGTTATACAAATACAGAAGCAACGTGTACCAATCCCATCGCCTTTTTTCTTCCACCCGTATTTATGTAATTGATCGCATAGGGGATGTACATGAGTAGAAGCCGGAGTCGGAGCCGCCGGAGCCGGATCATTTTACTCGGAGCCGGAGCCGGAGCCGGAGCCGCCATGACATTTCACCCGGAGCCGGAGCCGGAGCCGGAGCCGATTTTTTTATCCGGAGCCGGAGCCGGAGCCGGAGCCGTCTGAAATTTCCACGGCTCCGCATCCCTGGTGTGGAGGCATGATAGATAGACTAGCCAGGACGATCGCTAAGCAGGTCTACAAGATACCTAATTGTTCGGAGAGTACAGCCGTAATTCAGATCCGGTAATGAACGTCACCACTAACGTCAGCTGAGATCCGGATTCTACATCACATAATGCTCCCGCGCTCTTGTTACAGAGAAAACCCGTATATGCCGGGACCGGCTGAGTTATCGATCTGTACCCCGAACTGGCGAGTGGCGATCGATTTGATCCGGCTCGGGGGATTCGGTTCGTAACTTCGTTTACGTGTTTCAATGCATTCCAGGCATTCCAAGGCATCCTAAACATTCCAACGGTCACTTGGCCTCTTTGCGAGAAAAACGTCAAAAACGTGTCTCATATTCACACGGCGGGCGGCTATTACTTTTTAGCAATTGTGTGATGCTGTAAACACCAATTTACAGAACAGAATGCGTCACACGGAGATGTCATGGAAATGAGGGACAAAAGTCAAAACCATAGATATAAGCAAGAATCATCATGTAATCTATGTCAAAACTAATGCAACCTACGACAAGTCGACGAACGGTCGTCTAATGTGATCAGCAATCAAATATCCATGCCTTTTATCTTTTAATCAAATCTGATCTCTTGTATGTTGACAAACGGATATGACATGCTGGAAGTTGCAAATAAAGCTTCTTCACAGGTTAACAGGGTTCGCGACCACAAACATTTGTCTTGCTAACAAATACACATGACCTTTGACCAACACTATGCAAAATTACACAAAAAAGTTCATGGAAGGTTTATGCGTAACAATAAATTAAAAAACAAAGCGCCAACGCATCTTTATTTTTAATCGTGTCCGTTTCGAGCCCAATGCAATTCCTCATTCCTGTTCATATGGCAATGTGCCCAGCTTCTTATCTGTAAATGTGTCGCGTATCGTGCTCCATTTGAATGTCGTCCCAATCGACATGCCTCCACTCACGCCCACCTCAGACAGTAACAGAAAGGTCATGGCAGACACAGACACACAGACGACACACAGACAGCCGTTGGACTGCAGCGGCTCAGGGTGCGGTAGCTCAGTCATTCTCGGCGCGGCCAAACGGCCAGTTCGAATCACGAATGTCAAGGTCACCGCGACCGGCACCGCGCACCGGCCCCACGGCAGGTGCCCGAGGAGTGGGCGGTGGCATAGCCATTGTGGTCTCGGACTCTCGTCTGAGGTGGGATAGGTTCAAGACCGATGGCTTGGTCAGGTGATGTGGGGTGGGACAACCTGCAAACGAGTGGGAGGTTTAGACCGCGTGCGCCACGGATGACTGGAAGGTATAGTCTCGTAGCCAAACGTTGTGGGCAGGCGAGAGAGCACAGGCACATCACAGAGAGAGAGCCCGACAGAGAGAAGCGTGCAGACGGGCCTCTGGCCAGACAGAGGCTGGGAGGGACGGAGCGGGGGCGGCTGCAGTCGCTGAGGACGGTGAGAGATAGAGTGCAGGACGGTGTCAGAGGCAGAGTGGAGAGGGTGCAGAGCGGAGGGTGCAGTGGGTCTCTGGTAGAGCGGGAGGCCAGAGCAGCAGGGCGGGTCGAGAGAAAGCCGACGCGTGGAGAGAGCAGGCCGTTGTCCGACCTCACGGCCTTGTGTCATGCAGAGCAGTGTGCAATGTGCACTGTGCACGGCCATCACGTGCACAGGCAGTGATCATCATAAGCACGGACAGTGGTCATCATCAGCAGACAGTGGGCACATGCCTCTCTAGTCTCTACAGCTCAGACGCATTGGGCTCTGGCAAGCAGACGAGACCGAAGGAAAAGCGATTGGGACGGGGAGGATAAGCGAGAAAGCTTTGCTCAAGTGTAATAGTAAAGCCAAGCTTGAGAAGAATCATGAAGGAAGCATAAGAAGGATGATGGCAGGCCAATTATATTGGCACACAAGTAGCTTGACAGAGGCTATTCGTAGCTAATGGCGAATCGCTAGAAAAGTTGGCACTATCAAAGCCGACATTATGGATGCGAGGTACAATTAATAGTCTGATTTACCTTGCACTTTGATCCTTGCAGCGGCCGGCGGCGGGAAAACAAGTCGGTCAATACTCAATAACCACACACTCGGCACATTCGAGCCAAACGTAACCGCCTCATGACTAAGCAAACATAAATTAGGAGTGGAAGTGGGAAACGGTTCGTCGTGGGAGGAAATGAAATCATTCGGTGTAAACGATGCCGAGTTTCCTGCATATGAAATTTAAGTCGTGAATAATACCTACGAAATGTATCTGTGGTGCTATCTTAAATGCGTCTTCACTCCTCACAATCTTGCTAATGAACAAGTAACTTATGATTCGAAATCAACTCAACAAAAAGGACAGAAGATAAAAATAAGCGCAAACTGGGCTCAAATGAACATCGCACCCAGCTACTTGGATCAGCTCTTCAAGCATCCAAAGCTACCTCACTCCTTCACCAGCCTGGAATGCGCGGAGCGCGTGCTGC